GAGAAATAGCGATAACAAACTTTCACTATCAAAATCCAAGATGGCTGCCTGTCGGCCATGTTGTTTATCCGATCAGTCTCTAAAATTGCCCTGAACATTTAAGGACCAAGAGGAACATCCATATAAAATTTGAGAAAGATCCCTCCAGTACTTCTTGAGAAATAGCGCTAACAAACTTTGTACACTATGTCACAAGTATCTAAGAAAACCAAGAGATGGATTCTATGCCTAATAATTATGTAGATATTCACACCAAGGGCTTGTCACTAATTTGAACAAACATGAACATTTATTTATTCAAGATCATACTAAATATAACTGACTCACGTGGCACCAAAGGTTTCAACATTCAATACTTCATTGAACTTTAACCTCCAGTTTGGATTTGCCTAAGGACCAAGGGGAACATACATATAAAATTTGAGAAAGATCCCTTCAGTACTTCTTGAGAAATAGCGATAACAAACTTTCACTATCAAAATCCAAGATGGCCGCCTGCCGGCCATGTTGTTTATCCGATCAGTCTCAAAAAATGCCCTGCACAGCTAAGGACGAAGAGGAACATCCATATAAAATTTGAGAAAGATCCCTCCAGTACTTCTTGAGAAATAGCGATAACCAACTTTCAATACCAAAATCAAAGATGGCTGCCTGTCGGCCATGTTGTTTATCTGATCAGTCTCAAAAGTTGCCCTGCACAGCTAAATATGTAAACTATGTCACAAGTATCTAAATAAACCAAGATATGTACACTATGTCACAAGGATGCAAGTAAACCAAGATATGTACACTATGACACAAGTATGCAAGTAAACCAAGATATGTACACTCTGTCACAAGTATCCAAGTAAACCAAGATATGTACACAATGTCACAAGTATCTAAGTAAACCAATATATGTACACTATGTCACAAGTAGCTAAGTAAACCAAGATATGTACACAATGTCACAAGTATCTAAGTAAACCAAGATATGTACACAATGTCACAAGTATATAAGTAAACCAAGATATGTACACTATGTCACAAGTATGCAAGTAAACCAAGATATGTACACAATGTCACAAGTATCTAAGTAAACCAAGATATGTATACTATGTCACAAGTATCTAAGTAAACCAATATATGTACACTATGTCACAAGTAGCTAAGTAAACCAAGATATGTACACTCTGTCACAAGTATCCAAGTAAACCAAGATATGTACACAATGTCACAAGTATATAAGTAAACCAAGATATGTACACAATGTCACAAGTATCTAAGTAAACCAATATATGTACACTATGTCACAAGTATGCAAGTAAACCAAGATATGTACACAATGTCACAAGTATATAAGTAAACCAAGATATGTACACAATGTCACAAGTATATAAGTAAACCAAGATATGTACACTCTGTCACAAGTATCCAAGTAAACCAAGATATGTACACAATGTCACAAGTATATAAGTAAACCAAGATATGTACACTATGACACAAGTATGCAAGTAAACCAAGATATGTACACAATGTCACAAGTATATAAGTAAACCAAGATATGTACACAATGTCACAAGTATCTAAGTAAACCAATATATGTACACTATGTCACAAGTAGCTAAGTAAACCAAGATATGTACACTCTGTCACAAGTATCCAAGTAAACCAAGATATGTACACTCTGTCACAAGTATCCAAGTAAACCAAGATATGTACACAATGTCACAAGTATCTAAGTAAACCAAGATATGTACACTCTGTCACAAGTATCCAAGTAAACCAAGATATGTACACTCTGTCACAAGTATCCAAGTAAACCAAGATATGTACACTATGACACAAGTATGCAAGTAAACCAAGATATGTACACTCTGTCACAAGTATCCAAGTAAACCAAGATATGTACACAATGTCACAAGTATCTAAGTAAACCAAGATATGGACACTATGTCACAAGTATCTAAGTAAACCAAGATATGGACACTATGTCACAAGTATCTAAGGAAACCAAGATATGTACACAATGTCACAAGTATCTAAGTAAACCAAGATATGGACACTATGTCACAAGTATCTAAGGAAACCAAGATATGTACACAATGTCACAAGTATATAAGTAAACCAAGATATGTACACAATGTCACAAGTATATAAGTAAACCAAGATATGTACACTATGACACAAGTATGCAAGTAAACCAAGATATGTACACTATGTCGCAAGTATGCAAGTAAACCAAGATATGTACACTATGTCACAAGAATCCTAGTAAACCAAGATATGTACACTATGACACAAGTATGCAAGTAAACCAAGATATGTACACAATGTCACAAGTATCTAAGTAAACCAATATATGTACACTATGTCACAAGTAGCTAAGTAAACCAAGATATGTACACAATGTCACAAGTATCTAAGTAAACCAAGATATGGACACTATGTCACAAGTATCTAAGAAAACGAAGAGGTGGATTCTATGTTTAATAATTATGTAGATATTCACACCAAGGGCTTGTCACTAATTTGAACAAACATGAACATTTATTTATTCAAGATCATACTAGATCCCTTCAGTACTTCTTGAGAAATAGCGATAACTAACTTTCACTATCAAAATCCAAGATGGCCGCCTGCCGGCCATGTTGTTTATCCGATCAGTCCCAAAAGTTGCCCTGCACAGCTAAATATGTAAACTATGTCACAAGTATCTAAATAAACCAAGATATGTACACTATGACACAAGTATGCAAGTAAACCAAGATATGTACACAATGTCACAAGTATATAAGTAAACCAAGATATGTACACAATGTCACAAGTATATAAGTAAACCAAGATATGTACACAATGTCACAAGTATCTAAGTAAACCAATATATGTACACTATGTCACAAGTATGCAAGTAAACCAAGATATGTACACTCTGTCACAAGTATCCAAGTAAACCAAGATATGTACACAATGTCACAAGTATCTAAGTAAACCAATATATGTACACTATGTCACAAGTAGCTAAGTAAACCAAGATATGTACACAATGTCACAAGTATATAAGTAAACCAAGATATGTACACTCTGTCACAAGTATCCAAGTAAACCAAGATATGTACACTATGACACAAGTATGCAAGTAAACCAAGATATGTACACTCTGTCACAAGTATCCAAGTAAACCAAGATATGTACACAATGTCACAAGTATATAAGTAAACCAAGATATGTACACTCTGTCACAAGTATCCAAGTAAACCAAGATATGTACACTATGTCACAAGTATCTAAGTAAACCAAGATATGTACACTATGTCACAAGTATCTAAGAAAACCAAGAGATGGATTCTATGTTTAATAATTATGTAGATATTCACACCAAAGGCTTGTCACTAATTTGAACAAACATGAACATTTATTTATTCAAGATCATACTAAATATAACTGACTCACGTGGCACCAAAGGTTTCAACATTCAATACTTCATTGAACTTTAACCTCCAGTTTGGATTTGCAATAAATAATTATGGGTTATCCCTATTCCCTAGATTATGATGAACAAGAAATATTAGATCACATACTTTTGATTTTTTTTCTGAGAAAGTCTCAAAATTATTTCTATATCTAGGAAAAATGTTCAAAGCAGAAACCCACATAAAGATGTGTTACTGCCACATCTGTCTCCCTTACAGTGACTGGGCTGTAGTAAGACCCTAGTAAACCAGCATCACAATTGTAATTATTCTGAGAATTTGTTAAGCATGGTTGAATCAATTACTGACTTACTTTCTCCAAGAAATGAATTTCTTCTGTTTGTAGCAGTGCTGGATCCAGTCTTTCTTGACTATCCGACCTTTCCCCCGGACTTGGTTGTATTTGGGAGTATTGACAAAGGCACATCTGTACAAAAATACACTCACTTGTTACTTAGGTACAATTAAAAAACATGTATTAAGAAATGAAATATCAAAAGCGAGGAAACTGATTTCTTAAAAATAGTAACAGTGGCTTTAACCTTGCCTTTACATGGTGAAACAGGACTTCTCCAAAGCATTCTTATAGTTAAACGAAGTTTGAGAAAAATCTGCTCTGAAATAAAGTTGCTAGAGCAATGACAAAGATGAACATGCAACTAGTAACATACAAAATATAATGATCCCTGGGTGTTCATTTGAGCAAGTTTCACTCCATGTTCATAGGAAATGTGTCCATGTATCCTTTAACTGTTAACGCAATTGAGTACATTTCTGATCTACTCACATGAGTTGAACACATTTTTGACGTCACTTGCATTAGTACATTTCTGATCTACTCACATAAGTTGAACACATTTTTGACCTCACTTGCATGAGTTGAACACATTTTTGACCTCACTTGAATTAGTACATTTCTGATCTACTCACATGAGTTGAAAACATTTTTGACCTCACTTGCATTAGTACATTTCTCTAATCTACTCTCATGAGTTGAGCACATTTTTGACCTCACTTGCATTAGTACATTTCTCTAATCTACTCTCATGAGTTGAGCACATTTTTGACCTCACTTGCATTAGTACATTTCTCTAATCTACTCTCATGAGTTGAACACATTTTTGACCTCACTTGGATTAGTACATTTCTGATCTACTCACATAAGTTGAACACATTTTTGACCTCACTTGCATTATTACATTTCTGATCTACTCACATGAGTTGAACACATTTTTTACCTCACCTGCATTAGTACATTTCTCTAATCTACTCTCATGAGTTGAGCACATTTTTGACCTCACTTGCATTAGTACATTTCTCTAATCTACTCTCATGAGTTGAGCACATTTTTGACCTCACTTGCATTAGTACATTTCTCTAATCTACTCTCATGAGTTGAACACATTTTTGACCTCACTTGCATTATTATATTTCTGATCTACTCACATGAGTTGAACACATTTTTGACCTCACTCGCATTAGTACATTTCTGATTTACTCACATGAGTTGAACGCATTTCTTATCTATTCACATAAGTTGAGTAGCACATTTTTGACCTTACTTGCATTAGTACATTTCTGGTATACTCACATGAGTTGAAGACATTTTTGACCTCACTCGCATTAGTACATTTCTGCTCTACTCACATGAGTTGTACACATTTCTTATCTATTCACATAAGTTGAGTAGCACATTTTTGACCTTACTTGCATTAGTACATTTATGATCTACTCACATGAGATGAACACATTTTTGACCTCCCTTGCATTAGTCCATTTCTGATCTACTCACGTAAGTTGAACACATTTTTGCCCTCTCTTGCATTAGTACATTTATCTAATCTACTCACATGACTTGAACACATTTCTTATCTATTCACATAAGTTGAGTACCACATTTTTGACCTTACTTGCATTAGTACATTCTGATCTACTCACATGAGTTGTACACATTTCTTATCTATTCACATAAGTTGAGTATCACATTTTTGACCTTACTTGCATTAGTACATTTCTCTAATCTACACACATGAGTTGAACACATTTTCGACCTCACTTGCATTAGTCCATTTCTGATCTACTCTCATGAGTTGAACACATTTCTTATCTATTCACATAAGTTGAGTAGCACATTTTTGACCTTACTTGCATTAGTACATTTCTCTAATCTACTCACATGAGTTGAACACATTTCTTATCTATTCACATAAGTTGAGTAGCACATTTTTGACCTTACTTGAGATGAGTACATTTCTTATCTACTTACATTAGATGAGTACATTTTTTATCCCAGTCAGCCTTGTACACACCGCCCATTTCTGTGGCCATGTCTCTCAGCTCTGCCCTAAACGGGTTCTGGAAACCACTCAGTGCAAACACGACTCCTTCCATCAGTCGCTTGAAGGACTTCACAGGGGATTCACTAACAGGTTCAGCTGTAAATTGAAAACAATTATTATAATACAGATACTGTAGCATTATTTTGCATGTCTATACAACCAAACAGTGAGTTTATAGAACAGCTTCAGTGAAGATTTACACAGATTCAGATTTACTTTACACCTACGTACATTTTCAATCTCTGTTAAAGCCTTTATTACAGGCTGGTTAACACATGAATGATAACAGGAACACTGGAATCACCAACACAGAACACTTAACTTCTCCTTCACCACATTCCAGTTTCTGTACCATACACAAAATATTTGTCACAGATTAAATATCACCGTTTTCACCAAGCATAACAAAGACGAATCATAATGACATTGAATATCAGTATAGATACAGCTTACCTTACATAGTAGTTCTTACATGACTGGCAAATTTAACACTGGAGGAATATGTGTTTCACCATTGTATGTCGACAACTTCACTGGTAAAAAGTTTCTTTGTAAACAGTACACATAAAGTTAATACCAAAAATGGTTACTATTTTTTTCTTCTTTATTTACATTTGATTTTTTTCAGCGCTGGTTTGGTGTGATCACTCCTAACAGACGAGGCTGTAGAACTGATGCTGGTGGACTGTTTCCTCATTGAGGGTTTGGGGGGCGCCGAATCATCTTCATCTGTACCGTGACCTTCGTCATCACTGAACTCATGCTTTCTCTTACTGCGGTTCTACAACATTAGCGAAAGGTTTGAGGTTTCACAGCAATAAGCAAACAGCAGACAATTTAGAAACAAAGACTGTATTGTATATAACTTCACATAACCCTTCTTGCAGACATTTCTATTTCTAACCATCATATATACAAGTGATTCCATAATTAGGATTTCAATGAATCTGAGAAAAAAACACATTTCTAAATCAGTCAGCTAAGCTACAGTATTTCCCCTTTACTTCCTTTATAATTACAATCTTGTTCTGTATGACAAAATTTGAAAAATTATAACATAGGAAAATAAATCTGTAATCATAGATAGTCATATGATCAGTCAGAGTTTACCAATGTTTCGTGTTTTTGCTCTGTATGTTTACCTCTGACATTTTGGGAGCTGCCTTTGTTTTGCTGGGTTTAGAAGAGGAAGACTCGCTGACTTCCGACTTGAAGGACGAGTGATTGTCACTGGTTTTGTGTGATGAAGAAACCTGACTGGGTTTAGATTTGAGAGTCGCTGCAGGAGATGATAGCACTGAAGTAGAGCGAGATTCCTCAGATAGTCGAGACGCTGCTCTTATAGCTGCTGCTCCTGTAACCACAAACAATACATCAAGGTCCGATTATTAAAGTTATAAAAATTAAAGGATAGTTTGTCACTTTTTTTTGTAAACTGGGCTTGGAGTGTTCCTCTGTTGTTGTCATACCAGAATGGATCCAAATAGCTTACAGACATATTTCATGAATAATAAAATTGTTTCATGATAAATGTGTAATTTTGTTTCACATTTATACTGATGTGACAATTACAAAAAAAGATTGGTCCTATCCATACTAATACACTCAACACTTTTAGCTATCAGTCATTTAATTGAGAGGGTTTTCTATTTTTTTCCATGGTTTTTTATGCATAGTCAATTTAAGATTGATTAGCACTTCAATCAACTTCAAAGTTCCTTGAGCATATTCAAATCATGAGACACCACAGCATTCATAGTGCTATGAATGAACTTAAATTTGGTTGTCTCTTATAGTGCAGAAGAACAGATAGTTCTATGTAGTGAAAACCGTAAAGCTTTTCAAGTTTCAACTAGTATTCTTTACATTCACAAGTTTCCCGAATTTGGGGTTAAGGTGACACCGTTACCTGTGGCTGGAGGGGTCTCCTTGACCTCTGACCGTTTTGCAAACACAGACCCCATATGTATGTCATCCTCCTTCTCTGGTTTGATGAGGAAGGCTCCAAGCTTCTTGGCACCAATCTACATTAAAAGTTAACATTGTCTATCAATGCTGTGCAATAAACAGGAATGACATTAACTAGCATCCTTGTTTTCACAAAAACTTTCCTTCACAGATATTTTTCTGAATGCCCACACAAAGACATTTATGAATGAAATCATGTGCAGAATATTTTTGGAATTTCTTTGGATGGGAATACACAAAAGGCCCTATTTAAGTACACCTTCTTCAACACACCAACACACATATATTAGACTCTAACTATTTTTCAGTCTGTTTCATACAACCATCTTTTACAACCACGTTGATATTGATACCAAAACTTTTATCAGAAACAATCAGGTAGAAAACTTCAACAATAATACATAACGGTAATAATTGCTCAATTAACTTCAGAATATTCCAAAGGTAGGGTCAACGCCTATGGAGATTTAACATTAGCGTCGGCCCCTGCTTGGAATTTCAAAACAAGAAAAATCCAAAAATGCATGGGCATAGGAAATCTTAAATCAGGAACAGTTAGTTTCAGAATTCATTTTATGATAAGTGGGACCTCATTGACATACACCTGTGTGGGTGTTAAAGGTGCGGAATACAGTTCCCTCTAGAGCATTTCAATGACACAATTACTATCAAATTATATCATCATTGTGTGCAACACATTCCAACTGTTATTTTAATACCGAATATTACACTATTTCAAAAAGCATTGTTCTTTTTATTGAAGATTTAAGCAGAAAAATGTGTGAAATTTCATTACAGTTCTGACATGTTAATTTACATGGTTCTAAAACGAGTCTATTTTTCACACTTGCTTAGAAGTTGGCACCCAATAACATATTTCAACATCAGAAATTTCCAAAAAAATTGACAACTCATAAATTTGTCATATAACACTTTTGATTCAAAACAAGAAAAACATAGCTTTCTTTCCACTTTTCCTATAACTTGTGTTTCTTAATGACCAAAAGTCCTTAGGTCTTGATATTTGGCAAGTAGGTTGTTCAGTTGAATTGATTTAAGTTTTGTAAACGTTGATGACCTTTGACCTTCGTTCAAGGTTTTGCTGAAATCATCCTAGTAATTAAGAAAGATTTGTCACGACAAAGATTTTCAACAAAAGGCCATAACTCCTTTAAAATGGTCGCAATGAAAAAATACTACCATATCTGTAAACTTTCATTGAAATTGACCTAGCAGTTTATGAAACAGACAACAGTTTTTTTCAACAAAGGGCCATAACTCAACATATTTCATTTTCAAAATAACATTTGCCTTTGACATTTATCTGTAATTTTTTAGGTTACCCCTGTCACTCAACCTGGTGTTAAATGCAAGGAGGTCCACTACAGTAATCAGTAGTAATTATGAGTAATCATGTTATTGATCATTTTTTATGTATCTAAATATGGAAAAGAATAAAAGAAATCAAAGTGGGGGCCAAATGTTGACCCCACCTTTGTAATACTGTCACCATGGTAAAGGGAAACGTAGAAGTTTTTACATGTTAATTAAACAACCCTTTTCATATGTTTCAGCCCAACAAAGTCGTTGAATGTATCATTCACCAATCAGGTGTTTCATATGTTAATTAAACTGTTTTCTTTATGTACTTACAGTGGATTCCTCCTTCTCTCCAGCTGCTGGAGGGGAATGGAACTTGATGAAGGACAATCCATAACTGGAGGTCTGCACAAATTCAATTAATGAATGTTCAATCATTCCCGAGTTAAAACAACGCTTTGTCATGCATGGCAAAATATACCCCTTGTCAAACATAGAAATTGCTCTATATGCCTAATGCAAACTATGAGTTTTAAAAAATGACATCAAATTAAATTCATCTATCAAGTTACACTTCAAGGTGAATACAAATTAAATTGATAAAGCAGAGAATTAAAACTTGTATCTGAAAATCTATACTGTATAATAGTGTTTTACTTTAGATCTTCCGAATACGTTTATCTTTGTTGCTGATTGACTTCTGTTTCAGGGTCAGAACACTATAGGCAGCCTTACTTCTGTACTATACCACGACAACGACCGGATCCTACCTTATTGAAGGGCTGGGTACAAACAATCTTCACTCTGTCCCACTTTTCACTGACAGCTGTTTTGGAGAATTTCTCTTTACCAAACATGCGCACCATATTTCTGTTAGTATTGTTACGACTGTCCATTGGATTCATAAAAGATGAGGCCACCAGCAACACCTGTTAAAAGAGAAAATGTCTAATCCGTCATTTTGGCTTGAAAGTTTTTAAGTTAAAAAACAAACATGATGATTTGATGGTCCAGATCAACACACATACGTAGTACTTCATTTTTTAATTATATCCTACTTTTATAAAAATATAAACCTGCCTTGGTTGACAGGTGAAACATTTCATCTTTGGTGATCCTTATTTTTCCTATCCAAAGTTACAGGTAAACTTGATGTGCTTGACCAGAACATACCTGGTATTCTTGATGTGATTGACCAGAACCTACCTGGTAATCTTGATGTAATTGACCAGAACCTACCTGATAATCTTTGTCCTCCTTGGCTGATGATTTTCCACCCAAAACCTCAACAAAAGCTGAGCCTTCATTTCCAATGTCAATGCTGTGGATAAGTGATGCTTTCTCAAACTAATAAAAAATAGTAAATTTTGATAAAAATAGATATAATTCAAAGAAAAAAGAATCAAAATAAATTAATACTACTTTGTATTCTGAATGAAACCTGCTTTCCCAATTACAAGAAATGTGACTAACAGGGCGTCAAAAAATTATACAAATACCTTTGTGGTATGAGTATGTCAAAAAATGTAGTTGCTACAGCAATGACAAAGATTTTCTATAAATAGCATTGATGACCTGGGCTGAATTTTGATAATAGAGATTTTTTTAATAAATTTTGCATTGATCAATATAATTTCAATGTGCAAAACATATTGGTGTATTTATAAAATTCCTAATGATCTGATTATCCTGTAGAAACAATATAATAATTAATAAAGTTGTATTCTATGAAATGTTCAATGTTGTCATAATTGTTTCCTACAAGATATAATTTTTCGAAATCATCATAAGTATTTGATCTGAAGCAACAAGAAACTTTATTAAGCTGCATCACATATCTCTAATGAAAGAGCTTGCAGAGGCTGGCAGCCCAGTCGACTGAGTCAAGTGTGACATGCTTGGCAGAGACTGGTGCAACGCAATCTCATGGTGACGCATCAAATGTGTCAATTAGATTTAGTTATCCCTATATTAATGTTGTGACTTCCACTGAACACAGGTCTACTTCTGCCACATATGTTTTTAAGTAGGACATTGCTTTCAATTTTGAAGGCAGCATGCTGAGTTACTGATACAAGTACTGAAAACCGGGTTGTTCTAGGACCTCCTTGTGCCGACACCTTGTGAAAAATGTACAAATGTTTTAATTGTTTTATGATCTATTATAAGTGAATGTACAGACTGGTTTTTAGAAATATGAAAGCAGTCAGAAGCATTTTTAATAAGTTGTAATAAAAACATTAACTAAAAACGCGTACACAATCACGTTACAAAGGTATAGTAAAGGAAATAGATGTCTAGAATGTCATCTCACAACTTGGCTATGGTTTGCATTTGTAGTGGAACTAATCTAGGTCGATTGTCGGCGACAAGATAGCTAAATTGGTAAAGTGTCCATCTAGAGTTGGGAGGGTCCCAGGTTCAAACCCCGGTCTGGACGTACATTTTTCAGGTCCTACTTTATTTGGTGCCCAACAAAGTATTCCAAAAGGTGGTATAGGGTCTTGTGTGTCTTTTGGGTTGAAGATTTGTGAAAGGAGGGAAGAATGTAACAGAACTAGATTGAGTAGATAATCAGCGACCAGGTAGCCCAGTTGGTAAACCTCCATCTAGAGTTCTGAGGGTCCTGGGTTGGAACCCCAGTCTGGCTGTGCAATTTTCGCTCCTTAGTTCAATGTTCTCCCCAGGCTGTTTTCGCGTACCAGTACCATTACGCATGAGTTTTGAGCCGTTTCACATCACCATTTTACGGTTACGCATCACCATTTTACGCATGATGCATGCATTTGACCGTTACACATAAAGTTTTCACAAATCTTGATAACTCCTTCTCCACTTTCCTGTTAGACGAGCTCACCCTCATTAGACTAGCTTTTATAGTTCCCTACGATTGACATCTTGGCCTGATCATCAAACTCTGTCCTGCGGGTAGATTTACCTGTGCCGGGGAATGTGAACGACCATTAGGTGTGAAACGTGAACAATAGGGGACCACAATTACCAGCGTGTAATTCGTCTAATTATAATTAATGATGTCTTGAGTCAGACTAATCTTTTTTGTAGGTATAAAAAAAATGCGCTGTAATAGAAGGGTTAAAAAGTAGATGCAATAGCACATCAAAAAAAATCTGTGAAGAACACTGTAGTTGAATTTGAAGAGCAAATATAATTGGTTATCAATAATACCTGTAGGACAACTGTAGCATGCTTTTCAGCTGGAGCTGTTGTCTTCCATTTGTGAGCTCCTTCTGCTTTTAACAGGTTGTCAGCTGGACAGCCCTAAACAAAGGTATTATAATTTACAGTAATGTAGATCAACCAAAAATGAAATATTTAACATTAATATAAACCTGATTTTTTCAGCATTCATTCCTACATTGAATTCCCACATGACATGTTACATGGATATCTTACAGTACAGCCAACAGGGTCCAAGTAAATAACCCCCTTTTTCACGCTTCTGCAATAGGACCCCCGAGGGCATAAACATCAAAATTGATGGAGCCCCCGTAAAATAAAGAAGTAAAATAGAGGCTGAACATTGTTGGTAAACAACATGAAACACAATGTCTTTACTTTGCTCTCAATGCAATGAAAGAAGCCAGACGAAAATGCCTGTGCTTTCACTCAAGTGTTACCTTGTCAGCACTGCTATAGGATACCACATGTTGGACTTTAATTTCAGGCATGGCGTCTTCGTGTTTTATGGAGCAAATGTGTTTGTGTTGAACACGAATGTTAAGTCAGCATTTCATTTGTTTGTTTACTTCAGATCGAAAATGCCGGTGCAATAATAGGAGTCTCGCACTTGGTAAGGACAGGATTTTTCATTGGTGGAAACTGAATATTTCTAATATTAAAAAGGAAATCGATTACGGACATCTTTTACGGATTGCCTATTTTTTCTATTATATGCTATATCAGTTTTAATAGTCAAAATTTGACACAACATTCCAACAAAATTAAAGAGTACATAAGATCTAAGAGGGATTGAAAAACAAGCTTTTTTGAAAGTTAGGCTTCAGAGTCAGTTGAAACTATTCATTTGAGAAAAATATTTAAAACATGTTGAAAAAAAAATGCAAATTCTTGGGAAAAAACGTTTATTGAAAAAAAAGCTATTAATTTGAACAGAAATCTATATATTTTTGTGAAATACGTCGCTGCAAGATGGAATGACACGCGCGAGACTTGTTAACTTTACCGGCAGAATCGAGATCCGGTTTTTTATACCATCAAATCATTTGTTATTTTAAATTATAGACGCCTTCTCATTTCTTTATTTTTACAGAAACACAGGTTTTGAACCAATAAAATATATTACTACGTCAGAAATGTTCTTAAACATAAAATAATTCCTATTTAAAGAACTGTAATGTATCCTTAAATATTTTAATGATTTTCTCGTAAATAGCAATCCCGCACCTTTGTTTACAACCTGTAGCAGGAACAGCAGCTCTGATTTCTGCTTGTCTCGCAGTATGATCTTAGAATAGACATCCTTATATTTAAAAATTATTCAACACAAATAAGGTAAGAAATAGTTCTCAGAATATGTATTTGAAATTGGAAGAATTAACGAATTACTTGCGCTTGATCGGCCTATACTGGTTAGACTATTAGATGTAATAAACGAGCACCTGCCAAACGTATTCCCTTAATTTGCACCCTTCCCCCCACCCCATATACGTTCAGACGTTACAAAATCTGTCTAAGCTGAAGTTACCTGTGACATCAGACAAATCATGTCATAGGGACATTTTTAATCCATTGGCACCTTATGATGCATTTAAGGCCGCATGTGCTCATGGTATATATCTGCCCAGTTGCTCAAGTCATTGGCTCATGAGTTATCTCCCTTTATAACTTTCTTCTTGCTGTTGTCGCTGGACACTGGCACTGTCCCATCTGATTGGAAATCAGCCAACATTGTACCTATCTTCAAGAAAGGGGATCGACATAAAGCCTCTAACTATAGGTCTACTATAGGCCTGTATCCCTCTATCATATTCCATAGTAGCTGCAATAACATAGCTTTCTGACGACGAGAGATTTTTTTTATATATGGCTGGGGCAGAGGAGGCCGGGTATTAATATTAGTACTTATTCCATAGCAGCATAATGACGCATCTAGATAACCACAACATCCTTACTGATTCCCAGCACGGCTTTTAGACGCAAACGATCTTGCGAATCAAAGCTCATTACCACTCTACATGATATCACCAGTAATATAAAAGATGGCAAACAGATTGACATGGTACTACTTGATTTTTCAAAGGCGTTTGACAAGGTTCCCCATCAACGCCTTTTACACAAACTTTACTATGGTATCCGCAACAACTCCCTTCTCTGGATTTCCTCATTACTACATAATCAACAGCAAAAAGTCCTTATCAACCGGTGTTCCGCAAGGTACAGTTCTCGGGCCACTACTATTCCTCCTCTTCATAAACGACCTTTCCAAATCTGTACTTTCCAATGCTCCTCTCTTTGCTGATGATTGTCTCCTTTATAGACCCATCAATACAGTCAGAGACTGAGCAACTCCAACAAGATCTTGTAAACCTCCAGAAATGGGAATCTGACTGGCAAATGAATTTTAATGCTGATAAATGCTTTGTCATCAGGACTTCTAAAAAAGGTAATCCCATCTCCTTCGACTATTTACTCCACCAGAAATCACTACAGGTAGTCCCAATTAGCAAGTACCTGGGGGTAACATTATCCCATGACCTGTCCTGCGGCCCACATGTTAGCAGCAGTTGTGCCAAGGCACACAGAACTCTAGGATTCTTGCGCCACAACATGTCTGGATGCACCAGACAGGTCAAAGCTCTCACTTACTCTGCCCTGATTAGACCTCAACTTGAATACTATATGCTCCGCCTGGGACCCATACCAAGCAGACCATATCAATCAACTCGAGGCTGTCCAGAGAAGAGCGGCCAGATACGTCTATAATGACTTTCACTCGAGAACTCCAGGGAATGTCTCAGCAATGGTTGACTCCCTCAAGTGGGACTCCCTGCAGAGTCGTCGGAGGAAGGCCAGGCTGGTCAACTTCTATAAGATCAGTCACGATCTCATAGCTATACCAGCCGAACAGTACTTAACCAAGGCCGACTCCAGGACTCAGGGATAGGAGGGCAGTGAGGACTACAGAAAGGACGTGTTCCTGTGGACCGCAGTAGCTGTGACAGCCTGTCCGCATCTAAGGAGCTGTCCGACCTTAGAGCGTGACCTGGATGGGCAGGACTTTTTGAATCTTTGAGAGCCCGGTAAGCTGGCGCTTAGCCCCTCAAGACAACCGAACACAGACTTCGTCAGTGTAGTGTAGTCTATAAACCCATCAACCAACCAACCAACCAGGATGGGGGAGGGGGGACACTGCTATCGTCCAATTCAGGCATCCAAAGACTTTTCAAGTTCTCTTACATGCCAAGGACCATAGCAGACTGGAACAGCTTACCCTCCTCTCTTGCTGATGCGTCTGATTCAAGGCTGGCCTATACTCTTCACATTAAACAATGACCACCCCCAATCTTGCAGATCATGGTCTACAAGGCTGCTGAGTTGAGTTTAGTGTGTTTTGAGCTACTCTCTTCAGAATTGAAATGCAAGTGTGATGGTCATGAGTATTTGATACAAAAATAATCAATTAAAAAAACACAAGACCAAGTCTAAATTAAAACTTGTGGCACATCTCAAACCAGCTGTTGTATGCAAAGTAGCACCAAAATAATTTGACCATATTATCAATCGTTTTCATCATAGAGAAATCTCACTCACTCTGATGTTTATTATATAATTACTGTTTAGTAACTAAACACACTTATCACATGAAAAAAGCCATACTAAAAGACTGCATCAAGATTCAGAGCAATGCAAATAATAGTAATAATATTTTTTAGTTTTATCACGGACATTGATAAACTAATTGCATGTTTTTTTTGCATTTTTATTTTACAACATTTATACAAGTTGTGTTATGCAACCTGAAGATTACTTTCAATGTTGATTAAAATAATATAAGGTATTCATTCTCACCTTATGAAAACTGAATAATTTAAATTCTGAGGATGTATATCTTCTCGAGTATAATAACAAGTACTTTTCTAACAAAAATCATTGAAACACAATGTAGTACAAGATGTAAAATAGATTGAAAGTGAGACAGCTGGTACATGGAGTGTTTCGGTACTTATATGCAAGACATTTTACAATATATAAATGCTTTGATTTTTTTTGGTTTATTTTCAGTTTCCTCAACACAACCTCAAATTATGGAGGATGAAAAGAAAACAAAACCTGTGAAGGAGAAAAAGAAAAGATCACAAGGTAATGTGACTGACAGGAAATGTAAACATAAAACAGTGGGTGTTCAGCATATAGTGTTTAAACCTCCAAAGTACTGACAGTGTTTAAATAAATACCAGCTCACAATACAGCTATTAAGACTTAACACAAACAACTGTTACCCATAATTTATTTCCATTGAAAACTGTTCGGATATTTCCATTATAATAATTATACTGTGGAAGTAATTATAAGTCAAGGGCCAATCATGTTGTGGTATTTAATTCAAACTTTCAAGGGCCAATCATGTTGTGGTATTTAATTCAAACTTTCAAGGGCCAATCATGTTGTGGTATTTAATTCAAACTTTGGTGTAAATTTCTGAAAGGTTTAGGATTGCCTTTTGTCACCGGACCAAAATGGTTACAATTAACATTTTTCTGCAAAACAAATTTTTGTTTTTTTTTCCCCTATCATTTGGATAAGCATTTTATGTAAAATTTATCATCATTATAAGCGATTTACAATAAAAATATATATTCAATTGTTGTTTTGAAGATACTATATCCCTGTATAAACATATAGATCTCTAAGACTTTTTTACATCTTTGAAAAATGATTGAGTTTCCTATCAGATATTACAAGTAATGCATTATCTGGATTTATGATGTTTGATTTATCAGGTCTCTCTTGAGAACTAACAAAGTTTGACTGTAGAGTGAATTGAATCTTTTTACAAACTGAAAAATTTTGAAATGCTTTGTTGTGTGTTTACAGGCCCAAAGAAGGAGAAAAAACCCAAAGAACCACAGCAGCGTATGCAGAGTGGAACAGGTGGTGCCTCATCATTTTTCAGCCAATCACAGCAGCTACATCAGCAGGAAGGGATTGTTTTAGGGGACAGTCACAGCAGTACTGTTGGAAGATTGGCCGCTCAGCATTTCTCATCCAGTAACCAGCTCCCCTTCACGACTTTACAACATGGTGTACCTCTGTCTTCGGCTCCCAGTCAAGCCTCTCTCAGAGTTCCCAGCCATTTGCCTCCAAAGAAGAGCATGTCACCATCGCGGATGGCTTCACTCACAGAACCTCAAGGTCAAAGTCAGCGTCATCTTGCTCTAGGTCTAGGTCAAGGTCGACCATGGCAATATCATTTCACAGGTGTTCTATCTATAGTAAATAGGCATGATAGAGGCTTGCTAGCCAGCTTGGTTTGACTCCTCGTGATGTAAGAAATCATATCCCCCTTCCCCAAATTTATGCTTGCAGGCTTATTGGGGTTTGGTATTTCTAAGGTTAAGGTAAGGTAAGAGGACAGCAACATCCACTAGCTTCAAAGTTTTAGGATGTGAAGATAAGCCTAAAGGTGACCTCTCATTTTAAATACATAAATTAATCCTGAAAAAGCTGAAATTTGTTACTTTGAAATTATGCATATTAAACAGCTTTTGAATTTAGATTTAATATCCAGAAAGTAGAAATTTATCAAATTGATATATAAATGTATACGGATCCTCGAAAGTTTCTATATGATAGGGTCAAGAGCTACCATCATATAGATAACATTTTACTACCTTTACAAAGTTTATAAAATAGCTTCACAATTGATCTTGCTCAGTATAAATTGTGTACATACTCATATTAGCATGCTAATTTATCTTAGCATGGGTTATCGATCATGTCAGTATGACAGATAACCAGCATTTGAAGTGATGATACAGTACATGCACATCTTGGGTTTACCTGTTAACAAATCTTGATTAAAAACACTCTGGACATTTTCTAGATATTAAATCCATTTTGTGCTGGTTGTTAATGACAGCCATGCTGTATTAATAGCAGTGGCATTTTACAAAAAGTTCAATGATGCAGAACAAAACTTTACACAGGTCATGATTTATACAGAAAATAACATTGATAAACTTGCTTTATTTTGTTCAACATTTCAGGGTGATTTATTGTTGAATTATGTATGTCATGCGATAAATGACACTGACAGCTTTGATTAATTCAGTGTTTTCGTTTTGGAAGGAAATTATGATCCTTAATTTATACATCTTGGTAAAAATGTTACATTTAATAGATTCGTCTTTATTACTGAATGTGACTAGTGAGTCATAACAAGCACTTTCTGCCCCCTCCCTATGAATGTGTTAACCCTTGTTGATACATTGTGGTAATGATACAAAGAGGGGATAAACTTTGTAATTAAGGTTGACTTTTAAGTTTTTGGATTCAAAATGGCCACCATGGCCTCTGATTGGCTGAGGCATCAACACTGATGGTTGGGGTATTGATATGCCTGTGGCTGACAGTTCTAGTTGTTTCTGGAATAACCCTCACAGGATTATGTTCCCCAGGATGTACTGCATCCCATATTTTGCCTTGAACAACTCCATGTTACTGTGTAGGTTTAATGGAATTATTCTGGCTATCAAAACTGCCAGGTTATTCTCATTATCCTATCATTGATTAGCCTGAAACTGACATTTGATCGGAAATTGAAAAAATAAGATGCAGTGAATTTAGGAAAATGCTGATCTGGGGTAACCAAATACCAGCTACATAATGTGTATTTTGCCGGAAACAACTTTTCCAAATTACACCTTCAGTGTTTTTGTCGCCTTAATTTTTGTTCCTTTATGAATTGGGGAAAATATAGCATTATTTATATTAAAATTGGGAATATATTCCTCAGTTTTTTGTCATTTTGGGGAAATGAGGCACTTTTTAGCTAAGGGAAACAGACTATATTTAGCAGTAAAACTAAGCAAACAAAATCACTCATCTTATCCCTTAAAATGAAGAGATTTTATATAATGAACCTCAAATTTGTTAATCATGTTCTATAATGTAAAGAAAAAAATCATTGAAAAATAACAAAGATGATTTAACTGAATCAAAAAATAAATGTCTTAGATCTGCTTTGAAAAAACTCTTCAAATCCTAAAACTGATAAAGTTGAAGTAAAACAGACAATTGAATGTGTTAATATTTAGAATGTTATTATTATTATTGATTGAGAGTATGTAATGACATTAAACTTGGCACAACTTCCCCATTATGTACTGAGGATCCAAGTATTATGCACACTAAGATACAAGATTATTCACAAGCGCATGAAGGCGTAAATTCAAATTCACTGAATTGATTTTGAAATTATTGAAGTCAAGAGCTGCTATAATATAAAATAACATTCCCAATCAGACTTAATTATATGCTTGCACAACTGTAATCGATATAATATTGATTTGGTATTGCTATTTCAGATTGCATATTGGATTATTTTATTTTCTAGTCGGACAATTTGCCTGTAAATTGTTATACAATGATGCAGCAAGATTTGATCTCTAGTATGGTTATGAGCTTGTTAGAAAACTTACTCTTTGCATTTTGAAAATTGGAAAAAATGTGCTTCAGGCTTAGATTGTCATAATAATTATAATATATACTATTGTATCATGGGATACTATTACCTTTTCAATACTTTGAAGCTTGTGATAAATATAATCTTTGCCCTACTCACTTGCTTAAAAGTTCAGATACAGCCAAATTCATGCCATAAGTTAATTATCAGTATTACTATTGCGAAATTCAACTTTGATGTTTTGAATTGCCATCTTTTTAGGAAGGAAATTATTATAATTTTGAGGTGTATTTAAAAGGAATATCAATATTGAGCAACACAAATAGCTCAATTATCTATTCATTTTTTTATTAATGTTTATTAATTTTAAGAAATTATTAAAAAAATAAATGTAACTTTTTTTTGTTTTAAAGGAATTCCAGCAGGCTTTCAAAGTCATGGACCTGTGCCTACTACAGCATCAGATCTTGCAGCCCATCTAACATCGCAGCCACCTACTGTTAACATCGGTCGCTCTGAGGGACAGGAACAAGAACAAGGGGGACTACTCCGTCAACAGCTCATGCAACAAAGAATGACTCTCCCCACTGAGTTGTTGAGTCAACCAGAGAGAAAGTTCAGTCCATACCAACAGTCTCAATCTGTGTCATTAGGGGTTGGTGATAGAGGAAAGGACAGCCATTCACCTCAGACAGGGCCAAACAAACATCAGCGGGAGGACATTGGTAGGACTAAAGCTCCACCAAATGTGCAGCTTCCAACTTTTGGGTCGAAAACTGAGACTGGACGCATTTTAGGAGGTCATCACAGCAGAGCCCTAGGTCTCGAGGAAAAAGTCCACTTCCCTCCACAGTTTGACTCTAGCCCTGGACCTGGAAAAATACAGTTACAGAGAATTGTCATACCAACAACAAGAGAGGATGTACGTCGCACTGTGTCTCCAGCAAAGAGAGAATCCCAACCACAACCGGCACATTTAGGTGAACATACAGCATACCAGGTGTCGACCATTCAAAGAACCCCATCACCCGCTCACGAGAGGCGCTCACCAGCACCACCCTTTGGCAGATCACAAGAACAGGCGGAGAAAACACAACCTGTCAATTTGTCATTACATATACCAGAGTTGCACAAGAAACATGGTAGTGGGGGACATGCCAGTATTGCAGGGTCAGTGTTGTCGTCACTGTATGCTATACAGGCCCAGGCCAAGTCCGGGTCTCCTGGCCATGTTGTGTATCATCCAGCTAGGACAGAACAGCAGGACTATACAATCAAGGTGAATATTACACAGATTACATGTTAAGGAAAATTGTAGTACAATGTATATTGATAAGATATTTATGCTGTCAAAACCTGCATTAACCACCTGTCTATAGCACTATACCTATATACAAAACTAACACCTATCTATAGTGACCACCTGTCTAAAGCTGTCACATGTCTATAACTACCACCTGTCTAAAGCTATCACATGTCTATAACTACCACCTGTCTAAAGCTGTCACATGTCTATAACTACATTATATCCAACACATGCAGTGTGTTCTCCCCAGAATGTTATGAAAGAAGCATGGCATTTCAATATTTCTGTTAAAGCAGCACTCTATGTAACATCAAAGCAGCATGGTAACTTTGGATTAACTATGAATATATAGCAGAGAAGATCTAGGATAGCAGCATGGCACGAAATTATTGGAGCATGGTGCCATGCTGCAAAAACAGCCTGGGGAGAACACTGACATGTGTATTAACTGCCAGTGTATCTACCACAGAGCTCTAGATCAACCTGATGTCTATAACTAGCTCCTGTCTAGAAGTACAGGGCACATGTGAAGAAGTATTGCCTGTATATAATTACCACCTGTCTATATAACAACCACATGTCTAGATCAACCAAATGTCTATAACTAGCTCCTGTCTAAAAGTACAGGGCACCTGTGTAGAAGTATTGCCTGTGTATAATTACCACATGTCTATATCTACCAAATGTCTATAACTAGCTCCTGTCTAGAAGTACAGGGCACCTGTACATTGCCTGTGTATAATAACCATCTGTCTTTATATAACTACCACATGTCTAGATCAACCAACTCTCTAAAACTAGCTCCTGTCTGGAAGTACAGGTCACCTGTGTAGAATTACCACCTGTCTGTATATAACTACCACATGTCTAGATCAACCAAATGTCTATAACTAGCTCCTGTCTAAAAGTACAGGGCACCTGTGTAGAAGTATTGCCTGTGTATAACTACCACATGTCTATATATAACTACCACATGTCTAGATCGACCAAATGTCTATAACTAGCTCCTGTCTAGAAGTACAGGGCACATGTGTAGAAGTATTGCCGATGTATAATTACCACCTGTCTATATAACTACCACATGTCTATATCAACCAACTGTCTAAAACTAGCTCCTGTCTAGAAGTACAGGGCACCTGTGTAGAAGTATTGCCTATGTATAATGACCACCTGTCTATTTAACTACCACATGTCTAGATCAACCAAATGTCTATACCTAGCTCCTGTCTAGAAGTACCGGGCACCTGTGTATAATTACCACCTGTCAATATAACTATCACATATCTTAAGATCAACCAAATGTCTATAACTAGCTCCTGTCTAGAAGTACCGGGCACCTGTGTATAATTACCACCTGTCTATATAACTATCACATATCTTAAGATCAACCAAATGTCTATAACTAGCTCCTGTCTTGAAGTACAGGGCACCTGTGTAGAAGTATTGCCTATGTATAATGACCACCTGTCTATTTAACTACCACATGTCTAGATCAACCAAATGTCTATAACTAGCTCCTGTCTTGAAGTACAGGGCACCTGTGTAGAAGTATTGCCTATGTATAATTACCACCTGTCTATATAACTACCACATGTCTTAAGATCAACCAAATGTCTATAACTAGCTCCTGTCTAGAAGTACAGGGCACCTGTGTAGAAGTATTGCCTATGTATAGTTACCACCTGTCTATATAACTACCACATGTCTAGATCAACCAAATGTCTATAACTAGTTCCTGTCTAGAAGTACCGGGCACCTGTGTATAATTACCACCTGTCTGTATATAACTACCACATGCTATATTAACCAAATGTCTATAACTACCACCTGTATACAGCTGCTACATTTTGTTCCTGTCTATAACTACCACCTGTATATATAGCTACCACATGTCTTCAACTACCATGTAGATGTTGAAATCTTTAACCCACAATCATGCCTATCAAAACTACCTGTCTACATAGACTGCTTTAGTTTTTAGCTCACCTGGTCCGAATGACCATGGTGAGCAAATTATGCCATACCGCAGCGTCCGTCATCTATCCGTCAACTTTTCCTTAATAATACTACTTGTCCTGAACGGCCAAGTAGATTTTGACTAAATTTGGTCTGGAGCATCCTTGGGCTAAGGGGACTCAATTTTCTATATTTACATTGGCATGGCATTGTCACTATATAGCCTCTTTGAAAGCTGTGTCGTTGATGGTACTTTAATTCCCATGCATCACGAGACACAATTCTTAGCGTATTAATACAACACTGACCGGAACTACAATATCCAATATAAATAAACATGACGGCTGCTGAAATATTGCTGGGCATTGTGAGATTTGACAATGTCATTGTAAATTTATGTACAAAATAAAAAAAAAAAAAATTAAAAGACTTTTATTACAACGAAAACAAGACCAAGGTCTGCAATATCGTACAAAATGCACATCGGTTGAAATCACCAATGCTGGCTATGGAAACAATTTTAACGCTCATGCAATTTATCAGAAATATCGTCTGTTACACTGCACTGGTCAACAGTGGTTCGTTACAAATGTCTGAAATACACATATTCTATAGACCTACTGACACATATGTTACAGACCTACTGATATGAGTCACAGCACACATAAACATTTCAGACATGTGTAACGAACCTGTGCTCCGTCGCAAGGTCACCCACTTCAAACGCTATCAGTTTCACGCGTCTCGCATCTACGGTTCCTCAGTTTAATTCTGACGACAGGTCAAATAACGAGGCTGTTATAGAATCTACCGACTGTTGTCAGGTCCCCATACAATCAACAAATAAATTCATGCCTGGATTCTTCACAAAATGAGCAAAGAGAAAAGTTCGAATAAACTTCCAAAATTAACTCCCTCATGGAGGGCAAGGTCAGATTTACAGTGTTCACTGTATTTGTCCATGCGCGAAATTTGTTCCGGGGGAAAATCGAAACAAATTTAAAATCTAACTTTCAGCTCAGAGTTATATTGATAAACTTAAATCACCCTATATACATATCATACGCAATTGTATTGATACTTAATTGTGGAATAAAATTGAAGTGTTTGTTAAAATTTCAAAGTACTACTTTGTTTGCCTATCAGCACGCGACAATACGCTGTTCAAACTATTGAACGAAATTGTGTGGACTGTCGATAAGGCATTTGTAATTTTAAATATAAATTACAAATTAAAAAAGAACATAGGAGGCAGAGAAAACGTAAATATCAGTATTGAACTGTTTTTGTATGTTATTTATGATCTATTTGATATTCAAATAGATCATAAATACCATACAAAAACAGTTCAATGCTTAAATAAACAGTGGGTGTGGCCCCCCTGGGGGCAGAGGGGCGGGGCCAAATAGGGGAAATAGAGGTAAAACCTTTAAAATCCTTCTTTTACTGAAGGCATTAATGGATTTTATCCTTATTTAGTCTGGAGCATCCATGGGCCAAGGGGACTCAATTTTGTATAAACGGTGAGTGGGGGCAGAGGGGCGGGGCCCAATAGGGGAAATAGAGGTGAAAGCTTAAAAATCCTTCTTCTACCATAGGGATTAAAGGATTTCATCCCAATTTAGTCTGGAGCATCCTTGGACAAAAGAGACTCAATTTTGTATAAACAGTGAGTGTGGCCCCCTGGGGGCAGATGGGGGTTGTCCAATAGGGGAAACATAGCAAATTCATCAAAATCCTTCTTCTGCTGTAGGAATGACAGGATTTGGCAAAATATCATATGAAGCACCCTTCGGTGAAGGGGAACTAATATTGTATAAACAGTGCGTGGGCCTCAGCCCCCTGGGGGCAGAGAGCAGGCCCAATAAGGGATATAGAGGAAGAGCTTTAATATCCTTTTTCTTCCATTCGGATGAAGGTATTTTGACCAAATTTGAACAGTGGCATCCTATTGGGAGGGTAAATCAATTTTGTATAAATGGTGGATCTGACCCCTCCTGGGGCCTGAGGGGTGGGGCTAATAGGGGTAATTTAGCAAATCCTCTTAAAATCTTCTGTAGGAGGATTATGTCCATATTTGGTCTAAAGCATCCTTGGGTGAAGGGGACCTAATTTCGTATCAACGGTGGGTCTGACCCCCCTGGGGGCAGAGGGGCCGGGCAAACAGTGAAAACGTATCAAACTCTTCAAATTCCTTCTTTTTCTGTAGGAATGACAGGAATTTGTCCAATTGCATATAAATATAACCCTTGACTAACCATGTAATACATGTACAGCAACATCTGTCTGTTTCAACTTCAATTTTGCTTACATTTCCAGGTGAGCGATACAGGCCCTCTGGGCCTCTTGTCTCCTGAATACAGTATTTAAAGACACGTCATGAGTTGTAACTTATAGACTGGGAAAACTTGCTTTAAAACCCTGTTTTTCAGGTTGTAGAATTGATAAGAAATAACGAACAAATACAGATGTTGGTAATTCTGAAAGTTATTTTGATCTATGTTTGTCTGTTTTTTAGGCTCCTGAGTTAAACTTCAGCAAAGTAAGTCGTGGTGAGGGAGGATCAATTTCCATCCCAAGTCAGATTCTCAACACTGTCCAGACAGGAGGACAGTTACAGAAGGAGATCTTGCGCCAGACCTTACTCCAAGGAGTTTCCAATGCCCAGATGCATTCAATGAATCAAGCAACATATTCAGTTCAACATGGAAGCAGGGTCACAAAAGAGGAGGCCAAATCACATGATCAAAGACCAATCATGTACAAGTTTGAAGCAGACGGGTCAAGGAAAACCGTAAGTCCCACTCCACACTCCCAGGGATCAGCGAAGAGAGGTCCTTCCCCCCATCAACACCCTCATCCATCATTGTCAGGAAATATAGAATTGAAGCGTGCAAGTCCAGCACCTGGCACCACCTCAAATTTGATGTCGGTATCTCAGTTCAGTTCCAGCACAGTTTCCCAACAACCAATCCGATATATAATACCTTCAAGTGTTTCACCCAAAATGTCCACAGTTGGTAGCCATGAGGGTCCACCAACAGAGGTACTCCGACATAAAGTCCCGTCTCCAAAACCACAACATCGACACAAGGAGCAATTAGCAGCCTTGCATCAGACGTATGCTGCTAAAGGGACAAGTGGACAGTCCTCCACACAGTTGTCTGGTCATGTCCCTCAAACTTCCTCTGTACATTCCTCCAACGTTTCTTCAGTTCAGTCCATGCTTCCGTCAACAGTACCAACATCTATCAGTTTTCCGTATAACGCTGGACAGATCCGTCAGCCGGTGGTAAGTCTGGTCCGACTACCTGATAACCATCCCAAATATGAAGAGAAAAGATCTCCTCCTCCTCCATATTCCGTAATACAAATTCCTCAGGACTCTGGAGCCAGGTTTGATATCCACAAATCTGAAAAAACATCATTTACAGATGTATTTGGAGCTGTTAAAAAACCTGAACAACACCAGAGGCCAACAATTCAGCACCCTAAACAAGTCAATCCATTTACGTTTCCGGCAAAGGCACAGGCAAAGCTCTTCCCCTATCACCATCTTACAATGGAGAACAAGGATGACCTTCCAGGTGGGAAACAGAAAAGGATAACGCCCTTTCCAAAGGAGCCGCTCATTGCTGATGCTGCTGATGACATGCCAAAACTTCTCCCGGTCTCTCCAGTCAACTCCCATGAGAACGAGGAGGGCAGGAGAAAGGAGGATAAGGACATCAACATTGAGGAGCTTACTCCGATTGTAAGTGAATTTTGTATTTTTTATTTAATTTATTTGTATATTTGATGTTTTGTCTATTTTTGATGAATTTTTAAAATATGCCAGTAATTACATCCTAAAGAAACAGAAAGAAATTATAGCATCTCCTTCTGTAAGCTGTCATTTTTAGCTCACCTATCCTTAAAATCATTGAGAGTTTATGCCCAGGTATAGTTTCCTCCATCAGTCTATCAACTTTTTAGGTCACCTGAGCTTTAGCTCAAGTGACCTGTTGTTATCTGTCTTCGTCTGTCGTCGTCAGTCGTGCATCGTCCGTTTACATTTTACATTTTCAACTTGAGCTGAAATACTGGCAAAGGGATTTCATTGATACTTCATGGGAATGTTACTGACGTCCCCCTGACCAAGTGTTGCTATTTTTTGGGTCAATCAAAATTCCAATATGGCCACCACAGCTGCTGTTTTGAAAAAACTATTTCAAACTTAAAGTCAAGTTCTACTGGGCTAATTTAACTGAAACTTGGTTGGAATGATCGACTTATGGTCCTGGCAAAGTGTACTTTGTTTTCCGGGCCAATCAAAGATACAATATGGCCGCCACGGCCGCCATTTTTATTTATTTTTATTTCAAACTTAAAATTAAGTTCTAATAGGCCGATTTTACTAAAATGGTCCTGACAAACTTAACTTCACGTTATACTTAATTATTTTTTAGTCAAATTGGTAGGAATGATTGTCTAATATAATCTTTCCCTACCTTGAGGGTGTGGCAGAGAAATCTCCAACCCTCGGGGTGATGTTTTGGGTTGTCTAACCCTCGGCTAGGGAGGGGATGACTATTTTTCTCCCATCCTATTATTTCAGTCACAGCTCCACTGACAGTAGTCTGCCATGTTTGTAAACAATATTGTCATTCACTTTTGATTCACAATTACCGATGACGCATTTTAATGACATCACAATTGAACACGTGTTAATTGGCACGAGGCTATCTCCCCCTAGGGGATGACAAGCTGATCTTTCCCGGCTAAAATGGGAGACACACCTGTGAAGGGTTGGGAGAAATCATTATCTCCAATTCATATTTCAACAACAAAAATAAATACTGTAGGACTCAGGTGACCGTTAAGGCCCATGGGCCTCTTGTTATATCTAAGATGTTACCAGTTTAGAACAGCTAAGTGGAATTTGATTAAATAAATTTGATCTGAAGCATTGTTGAGCCATAATCACTCAATGTTGTATAAACTGAGGGTGTGGCCCTGTTTGGTGCAGAAGGATTGGGCCTTATAGATAAATCTTTACAATAATTCTCTTTTTGTATGGATAAGATATTATAACCAAATTTGAATTGGAGCATCCTTGGGCCAAGGGGACTCCTCCCATCAACACTGTCAGGGGATATACAGTATGAGCGTGCAGGTCCACTGGGGTCCATAGCCGGTAGCCATGATGGGGTACCAGCAGAGGGGTTCTGAAATATAGCCTGCTCCATTGTAAAACAACATACATTTTGGTTTGGTATTAAGAAATAGATACAACAATGATTCTAACTAGGATCAACCTTTGGGTCCATCCCCTCCCCTGGGGACTAGTTTCATAGTAATAACAGGGTACTGATCATGAGCCTGCCCCTTCCCTTGTTAAACACCTATCACCATTGATAGACCGGGCATCGCATCATGTCTGCCCTCTACCTTGTGAATTGTGAAACAGATTATACAAATGAGAGTCCTTTCTGGAAATTCCTCCTGAAGCCAGTATATAACATCAAATTCAGAAATAAGCCCAGTATTCCTTTTATGCCTTTTCTTTGCTTTCCCTTAATCGATCACAGATTACAAGGTGACCTGTTAGTCCTGTATAACTAATAAATACAGGTTCACCAAGTGGTGATTGGTTGTCATTTCCTTGTTACTAGAGTTTATTTTCAAATTGTATGAAGACACAATGCTCACCAAGTGTCTTTTTAACGTATTGAAAAGTAACTAACTACATACAGGAACATATGATAAATATATATGTAACAGTAGAAGCATTTGTATCTGTAATTCATCTGTTATTTTTTTATTTCAGCCTAATCCTTTTAACATGCGATTACAAAACCTTGCCAACCTTCCTACCACCTCCATATACCGCTCTTCCTATAGGGCCCACTCCGTCGCAGTACAGCGAGCTAAGTAAGTATTAGTAGAGGCGATGGTAATAATGACATCATTTGATGTTTTAAAAAATTGAAAGGAGGTATATATTGTGGAGCATTTATAATTACTTTGCTAAACTTTTACAACAAAGGGGAGTTAGGGTTTGGTCAGATATGACAATGCCAAGGGTCCCTGTACCACTGCCAAAATCTGAAACAATCCTTTGGAAACCTATTTTTCAGGCAAAACTATTGCTTTGATAAATCATTTCTGAAAAGAAAAGTGGGGTCGAGGTGGCCAGGTGGTTAAGGCGTCTGACATTCTGCTACCACTAGCCCTCCACCCCTGGGTCGCGGTGGCCAAGTGGTTAAGGCGTCTGACATTCTGCTACCACTAGCTCTCCACCACTGGATGGCGGTGCCCAAGTGGTTAAGGCATCTGACATTCTGCTACCACTAGCCCTCCACCCCTGGGTCGCGGTGGCCAAGTGGTTAAGGCGTCTGACATTCTGCTACCACTAGCTCTCCACCACTGGATCGCGGTGCCCAAGTGGTTAAGGCATCTGACATTCTGCTACCACTAGCCCTCCACCCCCGGGTCGCAGTGGCCAAGTGGTTAAGGCATATGACATTTTTCTACCACTAGACCTCCACCACCGGGTCGCGGTGGACAGGGGGTTAAGGCATCTGACATTCTGCTACGACTAGCCCTCCACCACCGGGTCGGAGTGGCCAAATGGTTAAGGCATCTGACATTCTGCTACTACTAGCCCTCCACCACTGGGTCGCGGTGCCCAAGTGGTTAAGGCATCTGACATTCTGCTACTACTAGCCCTCCACCACTGGGTCGCGATGGCCAGGGGGTTAAGGCGTCTTACATTCTGCTACCACTAGCCCTCCACCACTGGGTTGTGGGGTTTAGTGGTTAAGGGGTCTGACATTCTGCTACCACTAGGCATCCACCACTGGGTCGCGGTGGCCAAGTGGTTAAGGCGTCTGACATTCTGCTTTCACAAGCCCACCACCACTGGGTCGCGATGGCCAGATGGTTAAGGCGTCTGTCATTCTGCTACCACTAGCCCTCCACCAATGGGTCGTGGTTTCGAGACCTACGTGAGACAGTCGCCAGGTACTGGCCGTAGGTCAGTGGTTTTTCTCCTGGAACTCCAACTTTCCTCCACCACCAAAACCTGGCACGTCCTTAAATGACCATAGCTGTTAATGGGACGTAAAACACAAGCAAACCAAATGAAAAGAAAAGTATACCTTGCATATACAATAGAGACAAAATAATTAATACTCAACAACAATATACATTTCCTGGAGCTACAAAATTATGTTAAGTTACAGGATGTCAGTGTTACACTGTCCTGGGCCGGTTTCGTTTAAACAGTTGGACCACAGTTGTTCGTTTATTGAATAAGTTCGGACCTAATAATATGATGCTGCTTTGCAAGTCTACCAGGATTTATACGGTAAAATGACACTTTTAAAGACGGACAAACCGATTATGCCAAATAAACAAACAGGCCCCTGCAGTTTTCTACCTGCAATGAGACCAGGAGCCAACACAAAATTGCTTACTCAAACTAGGTGGTCGGGCTTAAGCTTATTACAGGACAATGAAATAACATTGTTTGGTATTTCTAATGAACTGCAATAGATGGAGTAACTTATTAGGCATGGGTTTATGGTCAGAAAAATATGGTTAATAATAATATTTATTCAGGTAAAATAAGCATGGTATTACAAGATCGCACAATTTAGAATAAAATGTATAATTAAAATCACAATGCAGCTTGTAAATAAAAAAGAGTATTTTGTATTAAGACAGAGAATAATAATAGATCTGACCTAATAAAAGGTTTTTTAATTCAATCATTGACATATATCACAGAGTATAAAAATCTAAAAAAAACAAATAGTCTGATACACTGTAAAAAAAGGCAGATATTGCTATAAAATGAGACAGACTTTTTTTAGTAAATGAAGGTATTTATAAATAAATAGGTCGCATAATAGGAGTGGTGGTGAGTTCCATTTACCTAGGATTACCCATAAAAGCCACAAAATGAAAAATGGAAGAAAAATAAGAAAAAAAGTAAGAAAATTAATCTGGTAACGGTTCAGATAGCACAGAATAGGATATGTGTTTATCATATTCGATAATTAATCAGTAAAATTGTATTTCCTATATAGAATATATTACATTTACTAACTTCCTGAAGTGTTATCTGTCTGTTTTGAAATTATGTTTTTTTTTTCATGAAAAAATTATGTCACACAAAGTATTATTTTTAAAAATATATGCATGTACAAACACTAAAACCTTAAATAATATTGTATTGCTCTAACAGGTCTGGCTGTATAGTGAGTCCTGCAAAGTCACTGGATCTACTGCGACAAAATCTACAGCGGTTCATCAACAAGGAGATTGATGTTATCATACAACAATACGTTGAGGTGGGCTCCACTTCTATTTGGTTTATAACCTATCAAATCATATCTAAAATGTTATACAACAATACGTTGAGGTGGGCTTCACTTCTATTTGGTTTATAACCTATCAAATCATATCTAAAATGTTATACAACAATACGTTGAGGTGGGCTTCACTTCTATTTGGTTTATAACCTATCAAATCATATCTAAAATGTTATACAACAATACGTTGAGGTGGGCTTCACTTCTATTTGGTTTATAACCTATCAAATCATATCTAAAATGTTATACAACAATACGTTGAGGTGGGCTTCACTTCTATTTGGTTTATAACCTATCAAATCATATCTAAAATGTTATACAACAATACGTTGAGGTGGGCTTCACTTCTATTTGGTTTATAACCTATCAAATCATATCTAAAATGTTATACAACAATACGTTGAGGTGGGCTCCACTTCTATTTGGTTTATAACCTATCAAATCATATCTAAAATGTTATACAACAATACGTTGAGGTGGGCTCCACTTCTATTTGGTTTATAACCTATCAAATCATATCTAAAATGTTATACAACAATACGTTGAGGTGGGCTCCACTTCTATTTGGTTTATAACCTATCAAATCATATCTAAAATGTTATACAACAATACGTTGAGGTGGGCTCCACTTCTATTTGGTTTATAACCTATCAAATCATATCTAAAATGTTATACAACAATACGTTGAGGTGGGCTCCACTTCTATTTGGTTTATAACCTATCAAATCATATCTAAAATGTTATACAACAATACGTTGAGGTGGGCTCCACTTCTATTTGGTTTATAACCTATCAAATCATATCTAAAATGTTATACAACAATACGTTGAGGTGGGCTCCACTTCTATTTGGTTTATAACCTATCAAATCATATCTAAAATGTTATCATACAACAATACGTTGAGGTGGGCTTCACTTCTATTTGGTTTATAACCTATCAAATCATATCTAAAATGTTATACAACAATACGTTGAGGTGGGCTCCACTTCTATTTGGTTTATAACCTATCAAATCATATCTAAAATGTTATACAACAATACGTTGAGGTGGGCTCCACTTCTATTTGGTTTATAACCTATCAAATCATATCTAAAATGTTATACAACAATACGTTGAGGTGGGCTCCACTTCTATTTGGTTTATAACCTATCAAATCATATCTAAAATGTTATACAACAATACGTTGAGGTGGGCTCCACTTCTATTTGGTTTATAACCTATCAAATCATATCTAAAATGTTATACAACAATACGTTGAGGTGGGCTCCACTTCTATTTGGTTTATAACCTATCAAATCATATCTAAAATGTTATACAACAATACGTTGAGGTGGGCTCCACTTCTATTTGGTTTATAACCTATCAAATCATATCTAAAATGTTATACAACAATACGTTGAGGTGGGCTCCACTTCTATTTGGTTTATAACCTATCAAATCATATCTAAAATGTTATACAACAATACGTTGAGGTGGGCTCCACTTCTATTTGGTTTATAACCTATCAAATCATATCTAAAATGTTATACAACAATACGTTGAGGTGGGCTCCACTTCTATTTGGTTTATAACCTATCAAATCATATCTAAAATGTTATACAACAATACGTTGAGGTGGGCTCCACTTCTATTTGGTTTATAACCTATCAAATCATATCTAAAATGTTATACAACAATACGTTGAGGTGGGCTCCACTTCTATTTGGTTTATAACCTATCAAATCATATCTAAAATGTTATACAACAATACGTTGAGGTGGGCTCCACTTCTATTTGGTTTATAACCTATCAAATCATATCTAAAATGTTATACAACAATACGTTGAGGTGGGCTCCACTTCTATTTGGTTTATAACCTATCAAATCATATCTAAAATGTTATACAACAATACGTTGAGGTGGGCTCCACTTCTATTTGGTTTATAACCTATCAAATCATATCTAAAATGTTATACAACAATACGTTGAGGTGGGCTCCACTTCTATTTGGTTTATAACCTATCAAATCATATCTAAAATGTTATCATACAACAATACGTTGAGGTGGGCTTCACTTCTATTTGGTTTATAACCTATCAAATCATATCTAAAATGTTATACAACAATACGTTGAGGTGGGCTCCACTTCTATTTGGTTTATAACCTATCAAATCATATCTAAAATGTTATCATACAACAATACGTTGAGGTGGGCTTCACTTCTATTTGGTTTATAACCTATCAAATCATATCTAAAATGTTATACAACAATACGTTGAGGTGGGCTTCACTTCTATTTGGTTTATAACCTATCAAATCATATCTAAAATGTTATACAACAATACGTTGAGGTGGGCTTCACTTCTATTTGGTTTATAACCTATCAAATCATATCTAAAATGTTATACAACAATACGTTGAGGTGGGCTTCACTTCTATTTGGTTTATAACCTATCAAATCATATCTAAAATGTTATACAACAATACGTTGAGGTGGGCTTCACTTCTATTTGGTTTATAACCTATCAAATCATATCTAAAATGTTATACAACAATACGTTGAGGTGGGCTTCACTTCTATTTGGTTTATAACCTATCAAATCATATCTAAAATGTTATACAACAATACGTTGAGGTGGGCTTCACTTCTATTTGGTTTATAACCTATCAAATCATATCTAAAATGTTATACAACAATACGTTGAGGTGGGCTTCACTTCTATTTGGTTTATAACCTATCAAATCATATCTAAAATGTTATACAACAATACGTTGAGGTGGGCTTCACTTCTATTTGGTTTATAACCTATCAAATCATATCTAAAATGTTATACAACAATACGTTGAGGTGGGCTTCACTTCTATTTGGTTTATAACCTATCAAATCATATCTAAAATGTTATACAACAATACGTTGAGGTGGGCTTCACTTCTATTTGGTTTATAACCTATCAAATCATATCTAAAATGTTATACAACAATACGTTGAGGTGGGCTTCACTTCTATTTGGTTTATAACCTATCAAATCATATCTAAAATGTTATACAACAATACGTTGAGGTGGGCTTCACTTCTATTTGGTTTATAACCTATCAAATCATATCTAAAATGTTATACAACAATACGTTGAGGTGGGCTCCACTTCTATTTGGTTTATAACCTATCAAATCATATCTAAAATGTTATACAACAATACGTTGAGGTGGGCTCCACTTCTATTTGGTTTATAACCTATCAAATCATATCTAAAATGTTATACAACAATACGTTGAGGTGGGCTCCACTTCTATTTGGTTTATAACCTATCAAATCATATCTAAAATGTTATACAACAATACGTTGAGGTGGGCTCCACTTCTATTTGGTTTATAACCTATCAAATCATATCTAAAATGTTATACAACAATACGTTGAGGTGGGCTCCACTTCTATTTGGTTTATAACCTATCAAATCATATCTAAAATGTTATACAACAATACGTTGAGGTGGGCTCCACTTCTATTTGGTTTATAACCTATCAAATCATATCTAAAATGTTATACAACAATACGTTGAGGTGGGCTTCACTTCTGTTTGGTTTATAACCTATCAAATCATATCTAACAATGCATTCAGCAGATTTATATCATTATAAATACCGTTAGACAATGGTGTTTATCTAGCTTTGTTTATTTTGATTTATTTAATATCTTTAGGTCAGCTGTTGAATCAATTCATATAGCAACACAAATACCTATTTTGCATCTATTATTAATTAAGAATAAATAGTTATTTTTTCATCTGTCAAGTTCTGTGTACAAACAAACAGATCCTGAGAAAATTCTGTCTTTTCAAAATGTCGGACCATGATAATTGACAATCTTTCTGAGAAAAAACCTAAGACATGTATACTTTTCATTAATTTCAGAAATTTTTTAAGCCTGGTATTGATAACATCAAAGAGAACAGTGGAAGTGCAGCCGTTGGTGAGGAACACATACAAGCTGTGTGTCGACAGATGTTGGAAGAGGTCAGTAACACTGTATAATGATTAAATAATTGTTTTTGTTTTTTGTGTTTTAAATCCTATTAACAGCTGTAATCATTTAAGGACATGGTAAATGTATGAATGGTGTAACATATAACAATATTAAGGATCCCCGTACCATTGCCAGAAACTGTAACGAAGTATTGGAGACTATTTTCTCTGGTAGGACTATAGCTTTGATAAATTAATTCTGAAAAGAAAACCACCCCTTGAGGAACTTGTATGAAAAATCAATTAAAAGGAAATAAACAAAATGGAATCAACAACAGTGTTCCGAGTGTAAAATTTAATTGGGGCTAGACCGGGATTCGAACCCTGGACTACAGATTATTATACACTGTACTAGCGCTCTAACTAATTGAGCTACCTGGTCAACAGAAGTGTTCTGACCCAACTGTGCTTAATATAGATCCAAGTGGCAGTTAAGGGGAGGCTACTGTGTATAGGAAAAACCACCGTGCAGTTGGACAGGGATCCTTAAGTGTGGATTGAAATGAATGTAACTGAAATTTTAAAATTCAACTGTTCATTGTAACATTCGATTCTCCAACATTTTGTCAATATTTGCAGGCCAAAAAGATGTACCTAACAGACCAAGGTCGCTGCAGTGTCACCCCGACCCGGGACATCCCTGACAACGTGTCCGAAAACGGGAGCACAGGCAGTCGCAGTAGAGTAAGTGTATCAAAACATCAGGTGTGGCCAGGGCTGTGGTTTCAATGATGAGTTGGAGTCTGCTTGATTTTGTACTTCTGCATAATAAATGGTTTTATAGGGTTTAAGGTTCTATCAACAGCTAAGGTCATTTAAGGGTGTGTAATAAATGGAGTCATGCTAAGAATACAGAATTGTTGTACACATGTAGTTAAACCTTGTATATACTGCAACTATTTGTCTTGAGAAACTTTGGTGTTATAAAGGGGTTTGGCATTACATCGAGGGATCGAGATATATAAAAAGAAAATGTTAAGTAAATAAGGAAAATGATACCTGGGCCAAGTAGTTCAAAAGGTCATTGGTTTAATTGCTGTTTAACAACCTTTTTCAACCTCTAATAACCTGGGCAAGATACAAGGTAAAAACTCATATTTGTGTGTGTAATTTTACTCTACTAAAACATTTTCTCTCTGGAAAAGTTACTCAGTTAATGGTTGTGTGTTAAAGATACACAAACAAATACAATTTGGGCCACTGATTAGGCTAATCACTTATTAGGCTAATCACTGATCAGGCTAATCACTGATTAGGCTAATCACTTTTTGAACAGCTGGGCCAATGATTCATGATGGCGGTTAGTGAGGTGACAATAGAAGGAGAGGACTTAAAACATGCTTTCACTGTAAATAATCAGTATTACAGATTAGAAGTTAATGACCAAGATGTCGACGTGGTATGTTGTATCAAAGTTCAAATGGATTACAATTTAAAATGTATCTTTGGCTGATTTTAAAATACTCATTAATTATGATTTTAGGTACCTTTTGGAAGAAAGAGAAAACCCTCGGACACAGATTCAGAAAAAAGCCATGCACCAAGACGGGTGCGTAAAAAATCATCTAACACAATTTTATCAGATAGTATGCAATTGGAAATTAAACCTACTAAAGTAATACATGTAATAAAATGTGATACATGTATTTGGGATATTCTAAGAAATCATAATTATATATCATACATGGAAAATCCAATATAAAGTATTTTCATGTGAGTTTTTTTATCTAAAACTATGTAAACAGCTATTTATAAAAAGGATTGTTTTGATTTTCAGAAAAAGGGAAGACCTCCACTTGTATCTGGGTAAGTATAACCTTGTGTTAATCTCCGGAGTATGGTACACATTATCTCTTTGCGAGCTACGAAAAGGCCTGTGCTTAACACTTCCCACTGGTCACCATACATACTGACTGGTAAAGATGTCAGAAGAACATTTTGTTTTCTAAATATAAGTTCATTTCATCACTACCCACAATTCCTGGTACATGTTCCTGTGTAGACACCAACTCATATAGTGACACCAGCTTTATGTTTCAAAATGGGAATTTTACAAATATTAAGCCAATTTCACACAGCCCATATTTTCATGCTTTCGGTGATTTTATTTAATTGGACAACAAGTATAGATATTTCACAAAGTTTACAGACAGTTTTAAAGTGAAAATTGAACTTAGATCATAGATGAAATTGATTGTGCCAAAACGTAATAGTTTGGAATTAGATAAACATTGGATTTAAACTTAAAATGGTAAAATGCTGTTATATGGCTCAATGTCTCGGTATAGGGGAGACAATTATTGCAATTATTCAGTCGGCAAAGAGTCAATTCATTAGCAGCTAGTTACAATTAAAAAACAACTAAGGTTAAGTGTCCTGTCCAAAGTTAACACTTATATGGCACCAGGAGTCAAACAACATACAGTTCAATGACAGAAACTGATTTTGTCATGTCATGCTCACAATGTATACAGACGACAAATGTCGAACATTACAGGGATTCATTCAGATGGTAATAAGGATTGCAGAATTTTAGGATCATTCTCTTGTCTGATGAATGGTCTGTACCATACCCTGTTCCAGAACTTGAATTTTTGAGGTTAATCTAATAGATGCTCTTAATAGACTCCCATTGAGTGTCGAAATACACTAAATGTTTTAAGCAGTCTATTAGATCAGCCCCAGGTATCCGAGAACTATTTCAAACTTGATCACAGCTATTCCAGGTTACCGTACCACTTTCAGACATGGATATCCGATCATGGTTTCGTTTATAAATATTTTGTTGGGGTGTTTTTTGCAGTCGTTCCACTCCCTCCAAGCTGAAGAACAATGATGCAGTGAAAAGAGAAGGTCCTAAGGTAAGCCATAGTTAATAGCTCTACTCCAACCAGCCCTACTCCAACCAGCCCTACTCCAACCAGCTTTCCTCCAACCAGCCCTACTCCAACCATATACTCCAACCAGCCCTACTCCAACCAGCTCTACTTCAACCATTTACTACAACCAGCCCTACTCCAACCAGCCCTACTCCAACCAGCTCTACTTCAACAATTTACTCCAACCAGCCCTACTTCAACCATTTACTCCAACCAGCCCTACTTCAACCATTTACTCCAACCTGCCCTACTTCAACCATTTACTCCAATCAGCCCTACTTCAACCATTTACTCCAACCAGCCCTACTTCAACCATTTACTCCAACCAGCTCTACTTCAACCATTTACTCCAACCAGCCCTACTTCAACCATTTACTCCAACCAGCTCTACTTAAACCATTTACTCCAACCAGCCCTACTTCATTTACTCCAACCAGCCCTACTTCAACCATTTACTCCAACCAGCTCTACTTCAACCATTTACTCCAACCAGCCCTACTTCAACCATTTACTCCAACCAGCTCTACTTCAACCATTTACTCCAACCAGCCCTACTTCAACCATTTACTCCAACCATCTCTACTTCAACCATTTACTCTTACCCCTGAACAATATGAGTACATTGTACCTCTACTGCTCACCCTGTATCCCAGTCCAGGAAGCGTGGTACATTCCACTGAGTAAGGAACCCTGCCTCCACATATATGTCGCCTCTATTAGTGATGGAGGTTGTCCTTGTATTCTTGTTGTGGTGGGTCTATGTTTTTACCTGCTCATTTTCAGTATCAAACCATTTGAATGAGCATAAACCCAATTAAGACAATATTTTGTGCTCCACTCTTAATAAGTTGAGTGTCTTGCTCAAATACACAACAGCTGTTGCCAGCAGAGTTTGTACCTACTGTGATTTTGACTGTAAGCCCACACACTGCCGTAGGCTTTGCTGCTCTTTGTCTGATATTACCTAGAATTTCATTAGCTATGATCAGTGTTACAATTACAACATTTAGTGCTTTAATACCGCCAGGGTAGCAACATACCATATGATCTGAAGTATCCCTTCATATTAGATTTATGATACAAGTTTTGGATTTTTCATGTTTGCGAGCCTCTGGCGATATATGTTATCATGACACTGCATAACACAGTATTCATATGATAAATGTTTACTAATAATAACACCCTTTTTGTATGTGTAATAAGTTTAAAATTTCCACAAGTTGATATCAGCCTGGGTGATATCACCCCCCCCCCCCCCCCCCCCTAGAAAAGTGATATCACACCCCCTAGATAAGTGATATTTCACCCCCTAGAAAAGTGATATCACACCCCCTCCCAAATTTCCGGATTGTGCCGCTTCCGCTTAATGCTGTCTACTTTTAATGTTAACAAATTGTTGGCATGGAATAACTGCGGTTTCATGGAAAATAATTTAAAGGTTGATTTACAAAGTCCCACCCAAATTTTAATAACCATATCATTTTGTAGGAATTTGTGAATTTCTAAATGTTGACTTTTTACGTATAATTGTAACTGTTTTGTTTATATACATCATTGTTTTTGTAACCATTTTTATGAATATAAATAAAATAAAGAAATATTTTTTTTTGTGTATGTTTTGTCTATTTTAAAGGAAAAAAACATGATAAAAAGTTTATGATACAACCATTTTGATATCACACCCCCAATCAGCCCTCGAGTCCCAATATCAGGACTCTCTGGCTGATATGGGGTGTGATATCAAAATGGTCATATGATAATTTCTAAATTCAAATGTTTTATCATTCTAAAAACTATTTTTTGTTTTGATTTTAGTGGGACCAGGAGAGGATTAATATAAATACATTATTTATAATGGGAGCTCGAGCAAACAAGTAAGAAATTTCAAATTAAGATCCTGACATTCTTTAAGTTATCACATTACCTCAAATACAACGTACCATATAGTCTGTGAATGTAAAACATCCACATTGTAAACTATCTGAGTGTGTAAATGTGTTTAAATAGAGGTCCTGGGCCCTTATTCATGAAACCGTTCTCATGCTCAAGCATGGATTCTGTGCTCAAACCTACTATCTTGTAACTCGGTTAAATCTTGTCAAACGATCAAAATGTCAAATGTAAACATTGAAAACAGTTTTTGGCTTGAAATCTCTTCAATGTTTTTCCAAATCATTGAAAAAAATAGATTTGTTTATGAATTTATAACTAAAACAAGAAATTTGGCTTGAGCACAAATTCCTTACTTGAGCATGAGAACGGTTTCATGAATACAGGCCCTGATGTCTAGATAATGTTTTCTAAATTTTATTCAAGATGATTATAAAAATGGCTCAAATACCTTATGTAAATTCTGGATAATTCAGTGGCAAAATCATTATTACTTGTATGGAATTGTTTGACGTATTACCGAGCATGTCCTTATTGAGTTGTGTTCTGTTTATAGAGCACTCGGACTAGGAGCCACAAGAGGAAGGATTTATATCAAACACCCAGATCTCTTCAAAGTAAGTAACCCCATTTTAAATATCAAGGTAATGAACAAATTATGCTATGCACTGCTGTGTAAAAATTTGCAATTCATATTACCGTGTATTAACTAAAAAGGAATATTTTCACACTCAGAATTATAAGGTTAGCTTTAAGAAGTATTTAGTTCACCAAACTGTGGACTGGTGCTGTGTTAGTGACAAAATGTACTGTAATTTTCGCCGTACTTCATCGAAAGACTGCATAGATGTTTGCCTTTTTTCGCCCTCCGCTATGAGGGTGAATTTATTTTTGAAGCGAACATATTCAAACAATAAAATGAACACGGGTATCAAATGAGAAGAGCAAAATTTTCCTGGCATACAGTACAGCACTGGGAGGACAGGACACTTTCTGTTGAAAAACTGATGCATGAAAATGATGAAAGCAGTTGAAAATTTCATCTTTTTTTCTGGAACTGTTTCTCTTAGTGTAGCTTTAAATGATATTTTCATAGGAAAGTAAATGCTTCAGTACTGATGTATACATTGTAATCACTTCAAGTAATATCACAGCGAAAAGTTGACATAAGTTTCCCAGACACCACTAGTGGTCCACAATGTTTCCATTCAATAATATGTTTTTGTCTCGGCGCCACAAATTTGCGGAAGCGAGACTAAGGTGTTGCTTTTTTGCCGGCGGCGTCAACCTAATGTTTTGGCGTTTAAGGTAGTTTCACTGAAAGTATAAGTGCTAGAGCAACCAAACTTGGACCATAGATGCATCTTAGGTCGTACATCTTAACCCATATATCAAATGCTGGATGCAGTCTACCTTTCATGGTCCATTGACTTTGTCAACATCTCCATCAATATTAAGATTTTGCATTTAAGATAGTTTCTCTGAAACTGTAAGTGCTAGACCAACCAAACTTGGACCATAGATGCATCTGAGGTCGTACATCTTAACCCATATATCAAATGCTGGATGCAGTCTTCCTTTCATGGTCCATTGACTTTGTCAACATCTCCATCAATATTAAGATTCTGCATTTAAGATAGTTTCTCTGAAACTGTAAGTGCTAGACCAACCAAACTTGACATGTGCATTGATGATCACTACCTGAGTGAGTACTTGTGGACATCTATAGTTTAAACTATAATCTCATATAGAATTATGAGGAATTCAACAAAATATTTCCTCAATACTTTCAACTTGCATCAAACCATAGATTATAATCTTTTATTTACTCAGGTATGAAACCCAATAGCTCTTGATCTGCCCGTATCGGTATAGATTGAATCGTCGGCTGTAATGTTCTTTATACTTTGTATATTCTCAAAAATATGTATTTTGATGACCGCGGCATGTAAACTGTACTGTTTCAGTTTTCTGGAGACCAAGATGACAAACAGTGGCTGTATGAGAACCATCACATGCCTGCCACCGGGGGCAAGGCCTACATGCTACTACTGGAGGACGTCAAGGAACTGGCCAAGGATGACGAATACAGGTAAGGTCAAGGTCATAGTAATACAGGTCATGTTTACATATGGCGGTAGAAGATAAAAAAAAATAAGGTCAAGGTATTAGCCGTTATGTTCATGTGACATTTTCTGGTGAAAGATGCTGAGGAGATTGTAGAGGATAATGAATACAGGTAAGGTCAAGGCCACTGTAGAAAAGGTCATATTGACATTTTACTACTGAAGGACATCATAGAATTTCATGGTGAAGTGTTATTTTTCAAAATTGACAAGGAGTATGGTAAAAAAGATCTTTATGTCAAGATAGCTATTTGACAATGGTAGATGACAAAGAGTAAACTATGATTTTGTCATGATGAAACTCCACCCATTTCTATTAAAAAGTAGAAAATGTTATTTTCCTTTCGATTATGATACTGACAGATTCCAACATTTTATTTTAAATGTATCAAAATTCAATTCAAACACCCTGATAAATAATACGAGCTATTTGTTTTAGAATAATTACAAATCCTGATACAAGGCATTTATTGCTACAGAGACAATGGTAACCAGATGCCACAGGAACTGATCGGCTTCACCATCCCAGAGTGGATGTTAGAGAAAGTGAAAATGCAAATGATGGCCGGCAGGACAGACAATGCTAGGAAGGCAGGAAGGAGTAGATCAACAACACCAAATCAAATACCAACCTCAGTTATACAGGTAAATCGAACACATCAAATACCAGCCTCAGTTATATTGGTAAATAGAGCACATCAATTACTAGCCTCAGTTATACAGGTAAAACAAGCAAATCACGTAGAACAAATTACCTACCAGCCTCAGTTATACAGGTAAAACAAGTAAATCACATAGAACAAATTACCTACCAGCCTCAGTTATACTGGTAAAACAAGCAAATCACATAGAACAAATTACCTACCAGCCTCAGTTATACAGGTAAAACAAACAAATCACATAGAACAAATTACCTACCAGCCTCAGTTATACAGGTAAAACGAGCAAATCACATGCCAGCCTCAGTTATACAGGTAAATTGAGCACATCAAATACTAGCCTCAGTTATACAGGTAAAACGAGCAAATCACATAGAGCAAATTACATACCAGCCTAAAGTTAAACAGGTAAAACAAGCAAATCACATAGAACAAATTACATACCAGCCTCAGTAATACAGGTAAAACAAGCAAATCACATAGAGCAAATTACATACCAGCCTCAGTTATACAGGTAAAACAAGAATTCTTATTGTTAAATCATTTATGGTCTGAAAAAAAGTATTTGAAAATTTAAACCCGAAAAATATGAATATTGACTAGCAAGGATATTGAATTTGTGGGTTTACCTCAAAGCACAAACAAGGCTTCTGTTATACTAACCCTGTATATAATACCACAAATTATAGGAGATATTTTTTTTCCAGGATGAGGATGATGACATGAAACACCTGCCTTTCTCCAGCTTCAGTAGCAGAAAGATCAAGGATGAGATTCAGGTAAATGTCTACTGTGTAAGGCCCACATAATACATACATCACTTTAATCAAATCTGATCACCCTCATTATTTCAAAAACAAAAGTTATGTTATTGTATTTTAGTCCACCAATTTAGAGGAAACTGCTTATTAATTCAAAGTCAGATGAGGAAAACAGCTTTCCATCGCTTTCATTAATATGACCGTAACGGTTATAATTAGTTATTAATTTGTTAAGAGAGACCTTGTTGAGGGAGTATACATGGTAACTAGGGCCAGATGAATGCCCTCCTACCAGTTACATATGTACACTCATCTATGATGTGATATATTACCTTGTTGTGTTGGTTGGCTGGATTGACTCAAACAATATTTTATCTAGAGCATAACTTACTTGCTATTTCATCAAAGTTAACTAGACTTGCTATACATATGTATCTTTTTAAGACAGAGTGACTAACTGAAATAAATAAGTGCATATTTTCACAGGACTATTCATCATCTGTTTGTCCATCTAGCATATCCCTCATTTTGCACCTTCAATCCCTGAATATAATACAATGGGTCTAAATACTATAGCTTGGGACAGCTATATAATGTTCCACCCCTGTGGTATTCTTCATCCTGTTGAAAAAGTTCAGATTTCTATGAGAGAGTGGCAGAGAAATCAGCCTCAGTTATACAGGTAGAACAAGCAAATCACATACCAGCCTCACTTATACAGGTAAAACTCTCATCATTGAGAGAAATCTTGAATTCAAACCACTCATTCATTTACTGTGTAGACATTTTAAACAAAGGTGGACGTAAATTCCTTTGCCAAATCCTCACCAATAAATCATTTATCACTGATGATATGTACTTTACAGAGCGTTCTAAAATATTATAGAAGTAGTTTTTGATGTGATGATCCTGATATCTGTTTTCTAGACTTCCCCATCTGGTGACACAGAGATGGAGTTTCTGTCCGGGGTAGACAACGATGACCAGGCATTTACAAGAATGTCCCCATTTACGTTGACTGGAGGGTTTGATGAGCCCTCACCGTCGCCGTCAGATTTGGAGGACGAGACCCCTCTCAGTGCTCCCTTTGATCTGACCAATTAATGGCTACAGAGTCACACTTGTCTTCAGTGACCTATGTAAGATAGTCCCTGTGGTATTTTCATTAGTTTATTTTTTTATCATGTGAGAAATGATTGACTGTAAAAGAGATTGATTTCTCTTACCCTAGACAAGCATATCCATGATTTTATCAGTATGGGATTTCTCTGTGCCATTTTCTTTAGACACGTGTTTTCAAAAACAAATTGACTTGCTTTAATTTCTGCTTAAATTTATCAAATGAAACTTGTAAATGCCAAATTAATATTGGGTTGCCATCAGATTTAGCTTGGTCAATATCCACTATGATTTATTTGACCAAGAGAAATTTGCTCAAAAATGTTCTTTCTAAATATCGTTTGCTATGATGACAAAAATAAGATACCTGTTGCTTACATATATTTCTTCTGTAGAATTTTGAACTGACCTTCCAGAAGGTGATAAAATACAAGTCAGCATAGATTTTAAATGTAGTTAATAAAGTGATAAAGTAAATTCCTTCGTGCCAAATTATATTTTTGAGGTAAGATTAGAAAGTATTGTATGCATATCAGCTTTAAAATCTTATATGGATCAATGTAATGGAAAGGTGATCAGACAAAATGGGTATCGTTAAATTCTCGTTTTATTCGACTAAGTACAATATTGTACTAATTTAGAACGATTAAATTTGTAATGTTCTGTTTAAAGTGCTAACAAAGGGAGTGTCCTTTGTAGCCGATTCATGTTGTGATTTCCATGGATAATATGTTTATGATGTACTAGAACTGAAAATCCTTTAAAGGTACAGTTAATAGATTTAATTCTGTTAAAGTGTTTCCATGTCTACTGTCTATACGTATGTTATTTTTAGCATGTTCCTGACTTATGATGTTATATTATATAGTATTGTTGATAAAAAATTGTGTTTTTACTGTACACTGTGGCCTTACCCAATTTCACAAATGATCCTAGCTCTAGGAAGATCTTTGAGTTTTTCCACAGAAAAAACGTATTGCAGTTGGGAAAAAATCATTATTGGAAAAAAAGGCATTACTTAACTTCAATAACAATGCTTTTCTATGGAAAGTGTAATTCAAGAAAATTTTCCTCAAGTTAAAGAGCGTTTGTGAAACTGCTTTAGGCCTGGTGGTAGGGTTATCATCTGAGGCCGTGGCAGATGGAGGTCTGGTCTCTTTCCTTGTACATTAGCAGGGTAATACACATATCCCTCAGAAAGCTGCTGATGCCCTGCGTGTATGAACAGGGGTTATTTGGTCTATAGGTAGCCTGTACTGTTTGTCTGTAGGTGCATTCTAAAAATTAATTTTAATATTTGTGGGTCTGTTGCTTACTACTCACTGGCTATTTAACTCATTCACCCCTACATATTTAAATTGGACTTGCCTAGTCTTTGATTGGTATGGTTCAGGTGTGACTTTTGGGTTGAATTAGTCAAGTCCCATAGAAAGCTTCTTCTAATATTTTACAAAATACCTGGAGCTACCCTATCAAAGCTGGTTCTTTGGAATTAAGTAAATTGCCTTGCTTTAACATACTTGGTATGAATTTGGTTCAGGTGATAATACTTGTTTCATATATTTTTAATATTCCATGTTGCATGTAATGCTTGTAATAGTTTACTTATTGTTATGTATAATTGTTTGTCGTTATGAAGACAATACATTTTTACACTCTTGATTATTTTATGACAAGATCTTCCTTTGAGCCTCAGTCTAACTCGGTGTCAACTCGAGTCATCACCACATAATCCATAATCTTGAACATCAAAGGATTCAGCTATTGAAATGTTTACACATTTAAACTGGGCGAGACTCGGACAAAGAGATTCAAACTGACTATAGATTATATATAGATGTTGCTTTTACTGTTTTGAATAACCCTTACTACACCACATGAGGCTCAATGTAGACAACCTTACAATCTTAATTGTGTTCCCTAATTAACATAATGAATTCTCCAGAGTTAATTTTACAATTCAGTTAATTAGCAGAGCTAATTTTAGAATAAATCAGTTTGAATTTAAAATTCTAATTAATTTTACTTTTTTTATTTAAATGAACTTTTTTAATTACTTAAATTTTTACTCATGTTGATGTTTATTATGGACTAATTCAATGTAGTTGCGAAATTCTTTGTCTTTTATGATATATTGTCTCTTAATCCTTACCACTGCCAAAAACTTTTAACTACGTATTGGAAACTGTTTTTTTGGGGGGGATGACTATAGCCTTGATTAATCATTTATTAAAAAAAAAACATACCTTTCAGGATTTTTATGAAAATTAATAAAGATAAAATAAACAAAATATAATCCACAAGAGTTTCTGAGTGTAAACAAATCAGCAGGTTTAGACTGGGATTTAAACCTTGACTTCAGATTGTTATGCTATCGTAATAATCGATTGAGCTACCTGGCCTACAGAAGTGTACCAGCCCAAATGTGCTACAGGTTTATTGAAACGGAAGTTAAAGAGGGGTTACTGTAGAAGAAAATGGCAGCGCAGTGGGACAGGAATCCCTAAGTGATAGACAGCGAGGATGGGAGACTCCAAATCTGTTATGATATTTGACTACGGTGAAGGAAATCTTTAAGTGTTGTCTGCTATATCAGATGACCCGGGAGGGAGTCTCAAAATCCTGCTAGATATAGAAGACAAGATATATTTGGCTACGACAGAGGGAAAGAATTTTAATTGATTATGATAAAAACATTCTTTTTAATTAAAACTATTGTATTACATTTACAATACAGTAGTAGGAACAGAAACAAGTGTCTGAGACACAGTAGTGACATACATAAACTGTTGATATTATGTTGTTAATTTTAATGCATATTTTATTGCCAAATTGAAACACTGTGTTTATATTATTCAAACTTATAAAATACTTTTTATTACTATTTTACTTATGTACAGGGAGGGCACTATTGGAAGTGTATTAATTTTAATGTTCATATTGTATAGAAATTTTTATTTTTTTTTAAGACCAATATGAAATAGATTGAGATATTTTAAGATTTAATTTGAAAACTGTTCGGATGTGATAAGAGATTTGATTCAGTAGTAAAACTATGTTTGAAGAAGCTATCCAGTTTAGAAGGAACAATGACTAGATAGAAGTTATGGTATACCTCTACAACTTTCAATGCATGTGTTAATTAGTGACTGTTTGCACTGGGAATGTGGGTTTCACCATGTTATCCTGACACATGAATTTTAAAATATATATAATTTTGTTATTGTGAGTTTGTTAAAGACAGCATGTTGTACAATATTGTAATGTTTTGTTATATATAACGTTACCATGATTTGCTGAAATGGTATAAGTTGATGAACAATAAAGATCTTAATAAACAATAATGACTTTTTATTTGTCCATAGAAAGTGTCAAACTTTAATTCATTTTACAGAAGTTGAGTCATTCTCATTCATTCTCTTCCAAAACTTGATTATTTGACAGATGCTTGTCAGTTTGAGATAAGCTTTGATCAACACGCACATGTTTTGTTTCTCTTCTCTATTTAGTTGGTAATTGAGGAGATAGAATTTAAGGTAATTGAAGACACAGCATATTAATTGAGGACATGATATAATTGAGGACACAACAAAAACGGAAATTGAAGGCATATCAGGTAAATGAGGATGGACATATCTAGGCAGTTAGGGACATAAAGGGTAGCTGATACATGACATTCTAATAGGTAATTTGTGAACAATGTAATGCTTGATAAAGGCATCGGAAATTGTAAAGTTCACTTGTTCAAACCAGCGACACATTCGATTGTCTATTGGTTATCCAGATTCTAATATAATATGGAAAATCCAAACTTTGACAGGTTGAAAATCATCAGATTCATCTTGCACCTTCGTTAGTTCTCCATTTCTGGTTTTCTTTACATATCTACAATTATTTTATTTTTAATTTTTTTACAATAGGATTAGACAACAGGCATAGCCTATAATAGCCTTCATCTGCTCCGGTATAACATTAACATATATACAGTAAAAACATTGTATAAATAGAACATTTTCATAATTTACGTTAAATTAATTAGGTACATCATGTACTGATTACATTCATCTATTCTATGTTATTTCTTCTTACTGTAAAAGTCTTCATATTTGTCTCGAGATTTATTTTAGGATGAGATATACCACTTCTTAATCCAGATATAATTGGCATGGCTTCTATTTGAACTGATCCAAGAGGATTCGTTTCACCAATTGAACAATTATACAAACGAAACGTATAATGTCTCCAATGATTTCCTATCAACTTCGTATTTAAGCATTCTTAATATATTTAAACGTGTACAAGCTTTATTATAAATATCATGAATATGCCTGGCATGATATCTAGGATGAGAAATACCTTATTATATTGTGAACTGTTTCTGACTATCTATATACATAAGGATCTGTCAGGAATTTGTTATACACATGAAATGTCTCAAAATTGTTTGTCTCTGTGACGATCAGTCTCAATTTGTTCACCTCTGTAACACTTGATCTTGTGCTGTGTTTGTTATACTCCCTTTATTCTATGACTAGCAAGATAACCCACTAAGTACACAGACAAATTCATCCATTAAAGAGATTATCTCAAGCACAGCCTGTATATAACGCTTCTAAACGTAACAGGTTGTTTTTTTATTGAGCGTGCTGTTGGCTTTTTACCTTTCGCCTTCCTGATGATACTTCTAGATTGAAATTAATTGAAATGAAACAGCCATCTTTGTTGAATTCACCAATAATTGGTTTATTTCCTTTACTTGTTTTTCAAGTACTTTATCTTCCTGTTTCGAAGTGGTAAGGTCTCCTCCAGTCCCTTAATAGGCCTATCTGTTCCATGTGTACGGATATTCATCAAACACAACTTAAGTAGGTAATTAATCCTAACAAAGAAAGAAAGACACCGCTCTTATTTGATTTTAAACATTAAACATTATGTAGCGTATATATCTGGATTAAAAAAAATGACACACACATCATTGGTTTGAACTTCTTTTAAATTCTTTTAATCTGTTTGGTTCCCAATAAAGATAAAATTATTGAAAACTTGAAGTATTAAGGAGGGCAAATTTAACTTTATTCCATTCCATGGAAGGCCGGTACGGAATGCCAAACGCGCAATGCTCATTTTCAATGCAAAATGCGCAATGCTTATTTTCATATATCAAATTCTTAATGGTAATTGCGTATTGGGTAATGGGTGATCGTAAGAGGCGACTAAATTTGGGACCTTATCTCTTCTCTCCTTTCTAAACAACTTTCTTATTCCTAATGTCTCCCTTGACAATGCCTCACTTTTGGCCATTTGTTGAGCGTTCGCCCCTGTGAGGAAGGCTTTGGGTTCTGTCCCCTGGCCGAGACATACCAAAGTCTTTAAAAATGGTAGTTTATACTCCTGCTTAACGCTCAGCAAATTAGGAGTGGGACGACTGGTTCGCCCGTTGTCAGTATAATGTGACCGGGTGGGGCGTCCTGCTGGGTGTCTTCGGCAGAATGTTTCAGTGAGGTAGCACTATAAAGTCGGCATCAGTTTCGCGCTATCACAAGGAGACAAACACGAACATATCGCAGCCTCCCAATATACACACACATACACTACACGCATGCATCTTGCACCCAGGGGAGGCCGTCCTTAAATGACCTTAGCTGTTAATAGGACGTTAAACAAAATCAAACAAACAAACAAGCGTAATGGGTAATGCAAAATTCTAATGCCTAATCTAAAACGTCGGATTCTTTCATGTATTTTGAATGTCAAGAGAGATACATTTATATATATATATATTTAGTAGAAGACGTTAAATTATTTTCCTTTGCTATTTCTTGACAAAATATATAATATGTAGTTCAGCTAGTCCCATTCTCTATTTTCTTCAAACATGAGGATTTAATGCGAAAAGCTAATTGTCAATTGCTAAATGCGTTTTGTGTAATACCGGTTGCGAAATAAAAAAAAAATGTCAAATGTGTAATGTCGATTGCAACAGCTGAAATCCTCATTTCAAAGAAAGGGGTTAGTTGAGATATCTTTTTTTCATGAAGCGGCAAAAGGAAAATAATCCATTGCTTCTAGTCAGTGCACAATCTCTCATGGCGATTACAATCCGAATTTGACATACTAGTATTAGCTTTAAAATTTTACATTCGGCATTGGCAATCTGCATTAAGCATTTGGCATATGATAATAAGTATTCCATATTCTACATTTCGTATTGCGTACTGGTCTTCCATACTCAATTAAAAGTAAGACATAAAAAGTTTAATAGGCAAATACGCATACCGGCAATGTACAGATTTTCACGCATTAGACAAACAGACAGATACGCAACTTATATACAGACAGACACACAAGATACGTACTGACATACACGCAACAGACATACAGATAATAAATAACGAACAAACAGGCACACACCTACTGACGAACAGGCAGATACACACCAACTGTCATAGAAACAGCTACACACCAACTCCTCCAATCTTCCCTAGGGGGAGTCTAAAGTGGTTGACGATATTCATACCCCACATGTGTTTTGTTTACAAACATGGCAGATTACTGTCGTTGGATTTGTGACTGAAATAATAGGATTGGAGAAAAATAATCATCCCTACCTTGAGGATGTAACAGAAAAATCTCCTACCCTCGGGGTGATTTTTGTTGGTTGTCTTCCCCTCGGCAGAGCCTCGGGTTAGACAACCAAAAAAATCACCCCTCGGATAGGAGATTTCTCTGTCACACCCTCAAGGTAGGGGAAGATTCTATTAATCAACAACTGACTTACAGACAGATATACATAGCAACAACTGAATATTCGACGTCGTATTATGAATACGTAAATTATTATGAAGATGCACATACTCATTATGATCAAATTTTCCTAGCATTGGTATATATCTTCTAAAGTCGATTTAGATTTTCTCCACGGCGAAATTCATAACGCTGACCATACGCTTGTGGTCGACAAGTGACTTTCTATACAAGTATATATATTGATGTAATTAATTGTGAACCTTGTCGATATCATCCATCGATTACCAAACTTCCATCCATCGTTTAGTTTGAATATATTTTATTGCGATATAATTACAAAACGATTGGGCACAAGTTTCTTCCATCCTTGAACATTTGAAAAAAAAGTCAAACGCTAATAAATTCGCTGAAGATATCTTCCTTGAAGACTTGATGATGATTCGCTAATTATTGGGGTTGTTTTGATGGTCCCTTTTTTACGTAAAGGGATATGCCGTATTCAGTTCCAAATATATGTAACTGCTCCGTCTGATCACAAGACATGCATCCCTATTGTAGCGTATGACCGTCATTGTAAGAATGACCTGAGGTCATCAGGCTCTTTGGATATTGGTAGGATACAGGTCACGGAGCAATTGCGTCTAAATATAATTCCATAATGCCAAGACTTCTTCGGAAGATTCAAGAAGGGAAGATATCTTTTACAGGTTAAGCGATAATTGTGGATGATGTTTTTAAATTTTCATCATGTGTGTGATTTTTGTTTTCTCATACAATTTTACAAGAAAAGTGCCGCATTCTGGTGTAAACAAACTACATTGCTCCGTCTGATTACAAGATAATACATCCCTATTGTAACGTACGGCCGTCATTGTAAGAATGACCCAATGTCATTCGACTCTTTTGGATATTGGCGGGATACAAGTCTTGAGAAACGGAGCAGCGGCGTGAGTTTACGTTATATACAGCATATGTCTAAATATACTTCTATAACATTACAATAACTATAATAATCGTTCTTGAAATATCAACTTTATTATTATCAGACATTTAGAATTATAAGGAATACATATTTAAAGTCAATTACTGAGGTAATCGATGAGTCCGTTAAAATTAAGTAGCCAGAACCGTTGACAAGTTCAAAATGTATTGTGACCAGCCCTCTGCTCATGATCCCGTTTGAGAAAAAAACATGAACGCATTCAATAGATATATTTCATGGTCGTTATTGTTAAAATTTAATTGTGACCTGTCATCTTTTTATTGTCCCTAAAAAGGAGAAGGCTCAGAATTTTGAAACCTGCGTTTTTGATAAGTTTAAGCAAACTTTATCAAAAACGCAAAAAATCGAAACTTTCCAACATGGCTGTCTTCTTTGTCTTCTTACTGACAAAGAAACGTCTGCAAAATGCATGCTTACGCACGCACGATATCCATGTTATCGAATTGGGGGACATTGATTAGCTGTGAGAGGTCAAGCCACTTTGATTGTCACGGAGATACATTTCGGGGGCGTGATTTGTAAAAGATATTGATTGGTTGTGTTCAATGGTGTGGCATACATGTATGTTTATAATATGCTCGAGAATACACTGAATTTTTCAAGATTTTTTTTTAATCATATCTTTTTTTATGATTAATATTGACCGTCCGTATCAATCATAAGAAAGGAAAGAGATAAAAAGTATCTTCTTGAAAATGTTAGTCTGATAAAACAGTGTTGTTATGTTAGGTCTATACACATGGACAAATATCGATGGTTTATGTGAATCAAAAACTACTAAGTGAAGGACAACATTAAATATTATTCTTATAAAAGTCTGGTTTTGCTTGTTAATAATAAGTCTAAAAGGAGTTCCCAGAATACGGGAGATTGCTTCTAGGTCCAAGTAGCCTTTTTTCCAGCTATGGTCCCTCCCATACCCTTCCCCTCCTCCGGCGGAGGAAAGTAACACCATCCGCCATACTTATTTCTTGTAAGGTCAGCAGCTAAACATCAAGTATCTTGGAATTACAATCACCAAAGACTTAAAACAAGGAGCAATCACATCAGTTCCATAACCAGTAAGGCCAACCAGGCGAGATTTTCAAGACAGAAGTTTCGAAGATCAACCACCCTATAGATTACTACTTTTCTATGCTTTCAATCAAACTATCCTTTATGAGTTTCCCTTTCGCGCACCTGCTGATGATCAGCCGGCAAAAAAACCCCAACCCATTTCAAACCAACTTTACCATTGGCCAAAATGCTTATTATGTAATATGAAGGGCAGAAACTCACATTCGGCATATCTTTTCACAAACTGGATGACGACCCCTTTCATCAACATGCAAACTGCATTACATGAAAGTAAAATAAATATGCCAATTGAGTCTTGAAGTTACACGTTCCTAATCATTAATATTTAAGTGAACTGGCCACTTTCACAAGATCAGATATCGTTCAATATATATTGGTTCGTAGCAGTTGGGCGATAAAGAATTTTGGGGCGATATGGTTGCCATACTTGGGGCGAAATGAGCGATGTGAAATAAAGTTGGGGCGAAATGGTCTGGGGCGAAACGGTTTTGAGGCGAAACGTCTGTAATTTCTATATAAATTGATATATCTGTATTCTAATCATAGATATCTATTTCAATTGTGATCTGATTTTTGTTGTAGAATACATGGATGTAATTATCTAAATCATTCTCCGTTTTCAATCTGCACATTTAGGAGCAGAAACATTCTCAGACGTAATCCGGAAAAACAGGCACCCGAAGTTGTATCAAATTTTACTTTCAATATTTCAAAGTCACGTGACACAAGCAACATGGCGCTGTGCTGTGCTAGTAAGAATAATATATTTTCTTTAGATCTTTGTGATGTTATTACATGCGTTATGTCTTAGATGCATGAAATATTTTAATATATTCCTTTTCCTTTCTTTATTATGTCGAACGACAAATATGTTCTCTTAAAATAGCCATGTTGTGAACACATGGCACCGGCTTTCTGTTCGGAAGTCCGACGTATTTTGAAACAAAGTCACTCGCGCCTGAATATTTATCGTTTACGATTATCACTTTATTTACGGCTGCTATGACTATTTGAAAACTGCATATCTCAATGTTTCAGTTCATTTGTCAAATATGATGAAACTGCTCGACTATAAGATGAGGAAAATCTATAAAGAAAGTTAATGTTGGGGGGGGGGGTTGAATTCACCTGCTGTTACCACAGGTGCTCGGGTTCTGGAATATATGCGATATATTATCGCACCCCCTTAATACTAATGAATCATAAGATTTATAAGTATAAGGGGGTGCGATATATAGTATAAATCAAATGATTTATTAGTATAAGGGGATGCGATATCTAGTGGATGCGATAATATATCACATATATTCCAAAACCAGAGCACCTGTGACTGATACCCCTAACCCATTCCACCTCTTCTTACCCAAGTCGGTATATCATTGTAGAACTTGATTGCGATAAACTGTAACGCTAATGTGCGCTATCCAATTTGAATATAAAGCTATCTGGATTGTGTTCTTAGAACTTCTATATTGCTAATTTTGGAAGAATGGACACAATATCCTGAAACAAAAATCTATTATGCAAGTGAATTGTAACTCAATACAAATATTGCGGTATATTGTGGTATTTGAGAAAGTATTTTGATATATTAATATTAAGAGAATTTTGTCATCTATGAGTCCAATGACAAGTCAAATAGCAAGTTAGGTGATTCACTAGTCCACATGTACCCCATCGCCTATGAGCAAAAAGATACTAATGGATCTATATATTGGTGCATTAGTATCTTTTTGCTTGATTGCAATAGGCATCAGTGACTAGTCAATGCTGGATATACCTTTTGAAATCGAGAACTAGTATAAGTATCAAAGTCAAACCCAATCAATGTTTTATTATTGCAATCATAGCTTCTTTTTCTACTCAAAATTTGTTATATAATTATGTATTTAATATTTATTGATCCAATAATTGACATCATTCAATCTTTTTCTTCACAGTTAGTAATGAGGTTCCAGAACAGCCAGTTATTTCTTCAGCCTCTGGCCACATCTATGAGAGGCGACTGATAGAGAAATATATCAAAGAGAATGGAACAGATCCCATGAATGGCGAAAAATTGGCAGCAGATATGCTGATGGAGGTCAAAGGTATAATACTAGGAACTAGCTGAAAACTGCTCTGGTGCCTACACTTTAGGCTGCTTGGATTTGACAAATGATTTCATAACTGAATAAGACGATTGTTACAGTGCTTTTCCCCCCATTAATTTGGGATGGGTCCATTTTGTCTCTTTTTGGGAAGAAAATTTACCAATTGGAAAGGAAATTTTCAGGTTTAAACTGAAATTTTAAAAAACACCACTTAAAATCATTCGTGGATTGTTTATGAGGTATATTTTCAAAAACTGATCCTAAATTTACACTGACAGTAAGGCTGTAATAAAAGCTTTATTACTCTTCTGCGCTTCATAGTGAAGGTGTCTGCTTTGATATATGTCTAAATAAGCTATTGGTTATTTGAATGATTAGAGTTGACTGAAGTCCCAGTCAATTATTATCATGGGTACTTGTAGTCCTCTAAAATGTTTATTTTTTTCTGCTGCAGCTTCTCCACTTGTGAAGCCAAGACCTGCATCAGCAACAAGTATCCCAGCAATTCTGAAATCCCTACAAGATGAATGGGTTAGTCTTTAATATGTGTCAAATTACTGTACAGTGCTGTAGTTGTATTAATTATTGTTAAACCTACATGATACACTTTGAAAAGCCATCATGATGGATTTGTAGCTAAATAATGTGTTTGTATGGACAATTGAGCAGTTGACTCAACAAAGGAGTCCTAAGTTATACTAGGTGTACAAAGTCATTACATACATAAACAAATTTAGGGTATTTGTTAGTAATGATAAACAGAAGTTGTTCCACCAAAATGTTAAACTTTAAAATGAAAGCTACTTTTCATATCCATTAAACCTGAAATCAGCTTCACTCAGTGTCACCATGATCAACAAAATCAAGAACATTATTCAATTTCAAGCAAGAGTTTTACAGAAAAATATGTTAACTCCTATTTGGTATTAAAAATTAATGCAACAGAAGCTGTCACTGATAATCTGAGGTCATTACCTTTAATGAGAACTCGGGTGAAATGTACCTTGTTGAATATATTTTTGTACCTTCATGACTGATGTTAACTGTAAACCGTAAACACTTGTTCTAATTTTGTAGGATGCTGTTATGTTACACAGTTTTACGTTGAGACAACAACTTCAGACAGCCAGACAAGGTAAATCATTGATTAACCACATTATCTCAAGTTTACTGGAGAGATGGTAACTAAACAAACGTAACACTCAACACAATCTGTTTCCTTAAGTTTGTTTTGGAAAAGAGAATTCCTGTGTGCTCGTTAAAATTATTGGTCACATAAAAAACATGGATTTACTATTGGTGACACCTCAGTAAGTTTTGTTTTCAGTTTTATTAAGAGGAAAATTGCACCAGAGAAGTGTAATATGTGTGGTTATTTTTTAAATCCTACAATCTAATAATTTGACATTATATTGTCTGTAGAATTGTCTCACGCCCTGTACCAGCACGATGCAGCCTGTCGTGTCATTGCCCGTCTCACCAAGGAAGTCTCGGCTGCAAGAGAAGGTAGGAAAATGACCTATAACTGTGCTAATTTCTTTCTTTCTAAATATAAGTGCTTTCGGATATTATGAGGTAATAGCTATTCTCTTCGTTTTTGGCTTTAAAATTGAATTTTGAAAAGAGATCTTGTCTGCAGTGTTCCGACTGAATTTTGGATTTTGGGTATATTTAATGCATTTTCAAGATTCTGTACCCCTAGGTACTTAGTTACATGGGTCAATTCTTGAAAACTAGGGGTACAAATTACAACCAACTGTTTTGGAGATGAAAAACCCTCATTAAGGGTTTCTGGGAACACTCTGCAATTTGATATGTTTTAAAAATATGCTAATGATATTTTCTTGTTTAGCCTTGGCCACCCTCAAACCCCAGGCAGGTGTGGCTGCCCCTGGGTATACAGCTCCTCAACAACCGGTGAGTAGAAACACTATCATATTAATAGAAATTATCCATAATGCAAGTTAATTATCACATGATAGTGAAATTTCTTTTGATGTGAAGCAATTTTTCTATTTAGAAATTTTAAAAGATTGATTATATTACATCTTTTCGCCATGAAAGAAAAGCTACTTGTATGACGTCACATCATTTTGGTGTTTTTTATTTGCAGTCATATGGTGCGGAAGCCAATCCAGAGGCTGCCCAACAGCCAATGGAGGAGGCCGGCATGAGTGACGAGGTTCTACAGAAGGTAGGACATCACACAAGCGTATATATAAATACGTGGTTCAAATAAAATGAGCTGGGGAAAAAGTTTGTGTACAAAGTTAACTTGAAAATAATTATTTTAGTAAGAAGATGTTTCAAGTGAAAAGTTTTCTAATTTACCAAATTTTGATATATCAGTTTGTAGATATTATTGATATTGTCATCGAAAAATGTTCAGATTTTCATGTTTAACCCTCATGAAAATGATGACTGTTTATTTGTAGAATAGCAAGTTTGTGTAAGGTTACAAACTAAACATGAGAATAATAATCTAAATTTACTTTTGCAGCTGCAAGACAAAGCTACCCTACTTACAGCAGAACGTAAAAAGGTATTTAAACTTTCAGAAACTGTCAGTGACTTAGTGTTTTATAATAGCAGCATTACAATAAGGAATTATGAAATGTATGGTGAAAAAAATCCAGAAAAACCCAAATACCACTGGCAATGAAAGAATTCAATTTGTAACTTGTCTGTTATAAACTGATGTAACTAATACCTAAATGATTCAGTCTTGATACTGACCTTTATATGCGACTTAATATGATATAGACCTGTTTTGAAATTTTAATTTAGGTTATTTAGAAATGGGTCATTTGGTGATTTAATTGTATTTACCATCACTTTTAAATGGTTTTCAACAGAGTACTTTGTTACCGAACCCCATTCAATCTCAAATTTGATTGGATAATAATCTGTATATATCTATATTATATCTCTTAATAATCTGTATATATATATATTATCTCTCTTAATAATCTGTATATATCTATATTATATCTCTTAATAATCTGTATATATCTATATTATCTCTCTTAATAATCTGTATATATCTATATTATCTCTCTTAATAATCTGTATATATCTATATTATCTCTCTTAATAATCTGTATATATCTATATTATCTCTCTTAATAATCTGTATATATCTATATTATATCTCTTAATAATCTGTATTTCATTATATTCCTTTGTCACAAAACAGTATACACATGTTGGTGCTTTGTAATTTTAGAGAGGCAAGACTGTTCCTGAAGGTTTGGCTATTGTTGAGGATATTAAGACTTACAGACAGCTGGCTTCTCACACGGTAATAAAACATTCACTCCTAAAATGTTTCTTTTTAAAAAGTCTTTGATCTCAATAAGAACTACATAAGATTTTTTATTAACTGTCGGAGAACAAGATCTTCTGTTGAAAGAAATTAATTTTAAGTCAAAAGATAAAACTATACTAGTCTTGGTCATATTATTGTTAAGTGTTTATTCTGTGCCTTCTTTATTCTTCGTTTACTGATGTGTTGAAATTTGCTCTAAACAATATCACAACATTGAATCAGAAATGTTTTCAATTGTGACAACCCTCTGCCAATTACTAGTGTATGGTAATACCATTCTGCATGTATAATTCTGTGATTAAAATTTCATATTTTGAAATGGATTCTTTTCAGGGATTACACAGTGCCAGTGTTCCTGGAATTTTATCTCTTGACGTATGTCTGAAGGATACATCAAAGATTGTTACCGGTAAATAATTGAACTTCTTATTAAATTAAACCTGTTTTTGAAAGATGCATGGATGGCTTAGAATATGTTTTCTTTTTTAGTAGACTTTAATGTAGTTAAATGGTTTTTGATTGAAACTACAAATTATACATTTTGTGACGGATATTTATGTAGTTTCATTGGTACGAATTGTTTCTGATAGAGATGTTGCTGTGTTGACAGGTGGAAATGACAAGAATGCTGTGGTATTTAACAAAGACACAGAACAGGTAATGGCCATTCTCAAAGGTCACACAAAGAAGGTCACCAGTGTCATTTATCATCCAGAAGAGGTAAGCTATTACATGTTTTTCTTGTTGACAAATTTTCCTTGTTTGTTTAAAAAATGATGCAGATTCACAACCAGTTCAGTTTTGATATTAGATACTAGACAGCACTATGCTTCTGTGCACCAAATAGAAGTTTTAATGAATCCTTGATTTGAAGTGAAATTGTAGAGAATATAAGTATGTTTTTGTGTTCAAATGTTTGTTAATATGTAGAATTAGTATTGTAGTTCCAGGATTGAATAATGATGGAACATATTTGAACATACATCCAGACTATTAGGATAGGGTATAGCTAGATTTCCTTTATAAGATTGTTTTCAATGATAATACATGTTCTGTACCTACATTATCTTCAGATACTGTTACTGTATATTCTGTCTTGTGTGTGTAGGAGCTGGTGTTCACTGCCTCGCCGGACTGTACCATCCGTGTGTGGGGTGTACAGACGGCCCAGTGTGCCCAAGTCATTCGTGCTCATGAGGCCCCCGTCACAGGCATCAGTCTCCACGCTACTGGTGACTACCTTCTCAGCTGTTCCACAGACATGGTAGGTAGACAAATCTATGTAATACTCTTAAATCTTTGAAATTTGTTCATTATTATAAGCAACAGTTGATTTCCATAGAGAAAAAAGAGATAAAGATAATGATTGCAATATCCAGAGAAACAGCTGATGGGAGAGACTTGACTCTGGGCATTGTTTTGATGTCATGCTAGTATGACGTCATAGTTTCAACGAGTCATTGTGATGTCATAATTTTTGTACCTCATTTCCTTTACCTCCGAAGAAGCAAGATAGACATGACTTGAATCCATCGTTTACCTTTTCCCTGTCAGGAGGTCGAAATATTGGGACTGAGAGTGACAATTGTGTTATCATTGTTCTTTATTATTTTTTCTAGTATTAAAGTTTCCTTTATAGAAATTGATGTAAAAATATATTTAATGCTTACCTGTTGAAAAAATGTCTTGTTATTCAGTCAATAGTGGATACCAACTGAATTTTATCATTAGTTCTGTTTACTTGCATAGGGACCACAGTACTTATTCATCCTCATTTTACTTTCAATGAGAAGATTAACTAGATTCCGTTGAAGGTCTTTATGTCAAAGGTTAAGGTCACAGGTGCTGTCTGTACAAATTAAGTGTTTTTTTTGTAAAACAGTTGTCACTGAGACATCAATTGCAATATTAACTATTTTTGATGAGTACCATACCACCACATAATGGCATGTGAAAAAAGAGTGGTTTCAATTGATGGTAATTGAAAGGAAAGCGTCATAATAAAATGGTCCAGGACATTGGTGTTCATTTGGTTCTGCAATATTTTAAAACCAATTCTCTTTAATGTAAATGTTTCTTGTCGTAATTTAGTATAGGTAAATGTTTAATCCAGACATTCAGAGTTACATGTACATTGTTTTTTGTATTTTTGCCTGTTTCAGCACTGGGCATTTTCAGATCTGCGCGTTGGCAGAGTTCTCACTAAAGTCAGCGATCCAGCTTCTCAACACGGTAACTTTTTCAGTCTGCCATTTCATAGTGATTTTTTCATCAAACTTGATAATTGTCATTGTACCTTAATAAGTATTTATCCTAAATAATTTTCCACAAATAATTCAGAGGCAGCATCTACCAATGTACAAAAAATGTAGATGATTCATTTTAAACAAGAAAATACACAAAGGTTTGAAATTAGAGTCACAGATGATGAAACTAGATTCATTGTAATAACTGTAAAAAGATAATAAACTCAACCATTGTTTTGATAAACAGCTATAATATTTTGTAAGAAAAAAAATGTTTAGGTATTTTTGTGAAATACATCTTTAGTTGAATGTAACGAAAGCCAGAAAATTATTGAAATACTACTTAATTTGATAAAGATAGATTCAGTTTAAAAAAGGAAATTTGATACTTATTCTCCGCGGTATGATCCTTCTTCACATCTCTGATTTTAACACATACTAATGTGAATCTAGATGTCCTTGTAGCTCTTACCTGATAGTACTTTACTTGTAACAAATGTCTCTAATTTCGGATGTAGCCCTGACCTGTGCACAGTTTCATCCTGACGGTTTGATCTTCGGTACCGGTACGGAGGACTCGATGATAAAGATCTGGGATCTGAAAGAGCGAGCAAACGTAGCTAACTTCCCAGGTCACCAGGGGCCCATTACTAGCATTGCTTTCTCTGAAAATGGTAAGTCCTCCTTTCTTTAAATAATCAGAAGTATTGTTTCGTGTCCTCCAAACTGCAAATTAGAGATTCGGAAAACACCTATCTAGTATGGTCAATATCCATGCATTCGTTGACTGTCTTTTGTGAAAATATGATGTGTATCTATTGATAAATATCAGTTTAGAAAATGATCGATGTTGTTAGACTATGAGGAAGTCAGTGTGACTAAATAATACAGGTGTCATCATACTGTCCCATAATTACATTTACCTACTGGATACATCAATAAGATGTGATGTAAAATGCTTTCATGTCTTTATTCCTTATTCTACTGACACTTTCTCTTCAGGTTACTACTTGGCTACGTCTGCAGAAGATTCTGTTGTCAAACTTTGGGATTTGAGAAAATTGAAGAACTTCAAGACTTTACAACTTAGCGATAAATATGATGTAAGTCTATAAAGAACTTATCTTGTCACATTAAAAAAAAATAGAATAAATTTGAAAAGCTTGCGAAATTAACTCAGTATTTTTGTTAACTTAATGTTGTAATCTATAACTTGTTAATTATTTACAATCAACAAATTTCCTGATTATTAGGCAGCTGAAAATCTTTATTGTATGTTGGATATGGATAATTTAAAAGAAAACTGATCTTCTGCGCCAGGTTTGATATTAACACAAACTGTATAGAATAGAAATTTGACCCTTACATGTTATTCTTAAGACAGAATTGTGAAAATTGATATTCTTAACACTATTAAATGTAAAGTAGAGGAGAGTCTTTCAGGATCATTCATGTTTGTTTTACAGGTGAGGTCACTGTGCTTTGACCAAAGTGGTACCTACCTGGCGGTTGCAGGTACTGATGTCAGGTATGTGTATTCCCTGTAGCTTAACATTACAATGCAAAATCCAATTTGGAAGTTTTCCTCCTAAATTCCAATTAAACATTTTCAGTATATATGAATTGTAAACAAGGGAACCTAACAATAGCTATATTTTTCACACTAGCACAAGAAAAGCTTGATTGATTCTGATATCTATTTCTAAATCAGGATATCCACCTAACCTTGTGATGCTACACTGTCAGCAGGTTGAAAATGCACTATTATACAGTTTTTTTATGATATGTCTAAACAATGAAGAATATGATTTATTTTCTTGCTCTACATTTTCAAAAACAGTAGGTTGAGCTGTTGTAAATTTTAATTCTACAACGTTTCTTTGTATGGTTAGTTTAAGTTTCTTTGTATGGTTAGTTTAAGTTTCTTTGTCTACCAGTTTCACTCACCAGTATTTTCCTATTTATACAATTTTTACTTGAAATCATTTACAGAGTTACAGAAATCAACATTTACTGTTAATTTCACAATTGTACACATGTAGATTTATATACCTGTGTAATAGCATATTGCTTGTTTCACTTATTGTCAATAAATTTGTTTTACAGAGTTTACCTGTGCAAACAGTGGCAAGATCTTGTGGTATTTAACGACCACACTGCGACTGCGACCGGTGTCCGATTTGGCCACAATGGTACGTTCTTGGCGTCGGCCAGTATGGATCGTTCACTCAAGTTCTTTGGTATACCATGAAGGACATGACGACCTGGATGAGTGTGTGTAAATAACAGTGGAGGAGACAAGACTGGAGCTTGATGGTGACCGTGTGTGTGTACATAGAGACGTAAAGGGAGAGGAGAAGCAGGGCCTATACATTCAAAGCATGCACAAACTAACACTTTATTAGAATAACAAAAATATTTTTCCACGATTATGAAGTTTGATGGGAAAGATATTTGTTCATGTTTTCAGATGTGCAGATCTGCTGTTTAAAAACGTGTATTTTTCATTAGTATGTGATGTGTACCATGCTAGCTGAATCACTTATTTTCAACTCAAGTGTCCTCCTTAAGTACCTTGTTTTTTCCTAAAAAGGAGTTTAATAGTTTGACAAAAGGTGATTTTTACTGGATGGATTTGTATATTGTATATTTTCTTTCAGGAATAAGTTTACCATGCTTTGAAAAAAATAGGTCTCTCTTTCTGAAATACGCGTATTTTTATCCTTCAGAGTTCTTTAGAATATGTGTGTGTCTATTTTTGGTACAGAAATAGAACAGTTGTCATACATCATGATCTAAGCTGCTAACTGAAAATGTGAAACGTCAAAAGCTATTCTTAATTTGGGGGGAAAAATGTAATATTAAATTTGTGAATTATGGTTTTAACATTACATCTTTTTGTTTTATAGAATCTAATTGTAAACATGTATATTGTGTAAAAAAATGAAAAATTGCCAGAACTTGTTAAATATTAACATCCAAGGTAATTATTAAATTCAAAAATATAAATTACTCTAAACACAGTTTTTGTGGTATGGTTTATTTTTTGGTATATCTGATGAGGGATAAATGATTTGAAGACACAAAAAATCACTACAGAAAGTGCTTCACAAAGCCGTGTATTAATGAAATTGAATCACTGCAGTGCCATCAATTTATCTTTAAAAAGAACCCATCTATTAATATTGTGGACAAAATTGGTGTGTGTACTAATATAAAAAGAGGAATGACTTCAAATTGCAAATCAGTCTGACTCGATTAAAGTATACTCCTGTTTTACCAAAAATCATCTTTATTGATAACTGTGTAGCAGTTATATTCACTGTGTAGAAGTTGTTTACTGTGTAGAGATTAAAAAAATTATATACTGCATAGCAGTTAATGTGTTCTGTGTAATGGTTTAAATTAATCTTGCAAGACTTTTTCTTTTTATTACATTCAAAATCTGAACAAAATCTAGGAATTTAAACTTTACATGAACTATTTGTCAATGTGAAGTTCAATGTATTTCATTGTCATTTGACTCACAAAACTTAGTATAATGCAAACAGTTTATAATCTTTGGGTCAGGCAAGGTTTTATATGCGACATAAAGCAACATGTTTTTAAGTGTTGATTACTTGTTGTAAGCTGCTTCATTTATTTTCCCTATGTACTTGTACCTTGAAACACAATATTAAAATTGAGACATGTAAATATTCTGTTTTAATCCTTGCTTAAACCATTGTATATTTCTGGAAAACATGTTGGGGAAAATGTACCTACCAAATATTGTGTGGATCATTCATTGTAGCAAAATAATGTACTGGTTTTTGTATCCTGTCGTTTCCATCCTTAAGTTTCCAAATTTCTATTTGATGGAGATAGCTATACTACCATAATCATTCATAGATTTATAGAAAAAAAGCTTTATGAAATGTGTAATATCATTATGTAATGTGTAATATCATTATGTAATGTCCAATATCATTATGTAATGTGTAATAGCATTATGTAATGTGTAATAGCATTATGTAATGTGTAATAACATTATGTAATATCATTATGTAATGTGTAATAGCATTATGTAATGTCTAATAGCATTATGTAATGTGTAATAACATTATGTAATGTGTAATAGCATTATGTAATGCGTAATATCATTATGTAATGTGTAATAGCATTATGTAATGTGTAATATCATTATGTAATGTGTAATAGCATTATGTAATGTCTAATAGCATTATGTAATGTGTAATAGCATTATGTAATGTGTAATATCATTATGTAATGTGTACCAGCATCATGTAATGTGTAATAACAATATGTAATGTGTAATAGCATTATGTAATGTGTAATAGCATTATGTAATGTGTAAAAGCATTATGTAATGCATTGTAGAATTTAATGTTAAAACTTTTTCTATAATCTATATCTTTTCATGAAAGTCTTTAAAATATGTTTAAGAATGAAAATCTAGGGCTGTATTCATAAAACCATATCATATTTAAAACTTCATTTACAAACTCAAGCCATCTTTTATACAAAAGATTTCCAGTTAAAGATATATTTTAATTGGTACATTATCACTTGAATTAGGGATTGAGCTTGACCACAGTATAGAAACTTGATCACTAAAGGTTTAATGAAAATGGGTCCTGATTAGAAATAGTGTGCAATGGGCTAAATGGATACGAGGACTTAACCTTTAAACATCATATCGTCATTTTCATGTCATTCATATGTACATGTCCAATACAAAAACAATTATGATTCTGAAATAAATAAATTTGAACTCTAAGAATAAGCTTGTTTTTGTTTATTTAAGCATCTCTGATAAATTTGTGAAAGTGTAGGGCATGCTTAACTCGACTTTAAGTAGTGTTGTGCAAGTAACACTTAAAGGTTAATGTTCAGTAATGTGTTAAAGTTAGAAATGACCAAAAAATACATTTTCACATTAAAAAATAATTTAATAATCATAAATAAACAACAACATGAATCAATACAAGGTGAAACTGGTACACAAATACAATGGAGTTGAAATCAGTGGCATTCAATTTAATATAATGGAATTCTTAATGTAATTGTCGTCAGAATAAGGTAAGATAGTGGAGGACTCGACTATATAGTACATGGCTCCAATGAGCTAATATTCCAATTGAACATAACCGATACTATGTAAAAATTGTTTTGTTCGGGATATGATAAGTTGCAACCTTTACATTGAGAGAACATATTACTTTGCAATGGATTTAAATGTCATGTCTGGAGAAATACAACTTTGCGATGGATTTAAATGCGAGAAATTTTGATATGTAAATAAACCACAACTATGGTTATCACTACAGACAAAGTTAACGATTGTTATTTGAGTACAGATATGTATCTACTATTACCAGAACATGTTTTAGAATATGAACAACTATTGGCACATATGAGCTATATCTTTATTTCAGTTGAATCAGACTCTACCATATATTGCTTTCTTGGGGATCCTCATTTCGGGATGACTTTAGCTTAGATATATCATTTCTGAAAAGAAAACCACACCTTCCAGGATTTTATGAGAATAAATAGTTATGAAACAAACAAAATATAAATAAACAACAGTGTTCTGAATGTTAAAATTCAATGGGGTACGACCAGGATTTGAAGTTTTGATTTCAGATTGTTATACAACTAGTTTATAGTGAATGCTGTATAGCGGGAAACCATCGCCCAGTCAAATACGTCGTATTCGCCCTTTTGCAGGTAATATCCATGTTTGCCTAGTGTTAATTTCGCCATTCACATATAATTACTATATATTGTATAGGCGAATTAATATTTGCTGACGTAAATTTGCCCCGGTAAAAAGATAAAAGTTTAACAGCGACGAAAAGTTCCCAGTATTCAGTATTATAAAACTATATAAAATATATATTGCAAAAGCGAAGGTACATATCATTTAGTATAATTCCTTTAATTATTTATAAATAATTTCCTCAATGGCATTGAAGATGGAATGTATACTGTTTTGCTCAACAATTGTATTTCACATTAGCATTGTGAAGATTGCCTTGCTGAAATCTTGTTTAGCTTGGGATAAAATAAAAATGTAATTTTGTGAATGTGCTCTATTTAAATATTCAAAGAAAAACACTTTTGATTTTAATATTACTTGTTTGATTTTGAGCATGCAAAAACATATTTATTGCCAATTTCACATACAGAATAAGAAGATATCTGAATTATTTAAAAGATGGTTACTAGAGTCTAGTCATTCTAGTATAGGTAACACTGAACATAAGCATCATTTGGCTGGATTTTAGTAATAATAGAACATAATTATATAAAACATTAAAATATGTTTAAATTAATCATTGCAAATTTTGACATTTTTCGTTCAAGTTTTTTAATACTGGAACTGTATGGGTAATAAATTAACTTAAAATCTATTAACAGCACTAACTGTATGGGTAATAAATTAACTTAAAATCTATTAACAGCACTAACTGTATGAATGTATGTTATTTACCAGGTACTATAGATGTGTAATTAATTAATCATTGTGAAATTGTTCCCTCTCAAATATACAAAATCAATACTAACACATAGACACACACAGACATATATAAATCTATAGATATGTATTATCTCAAACATTGACAAAACGATTCATCAGGGACAGAAAAATAGAAATAGACCAAACTGTTCTCGCTGAAACACTGGCTGGATAACAATATTAGACATGTAACCATATTACCAGGTAGTCACAGTTAATTTATGAAGTTTTATTCTACTTTATTATGAAACAATGTCTCCAACTTCTGGTGACTGATTATTATGTTTAAAATGAATGTATTCTCTCAGATATAAATGAACTCATAAACTTGTGATATGTCATACATACTAGTGTCACCTTAAACAAATATCAACCTGACGAATTCTAATCATTGTTCAAATCTTGCAGAATACTGCAATAAATCTTCATTTACCAAACAATATAAAGAAATATCAAAGAAATCCTGAACTTTCCATATATATCATTAGAAAATTCAAAAGATAAGTGCCACAATAATTAAAATAATTTTTGCGTTTCAATATCTAAACCAGTCATACAAAACAACATTTTACTCCAAAATCTTTCACCTTTTAAACACTATTTATAAACTAAAAGGTATCCTACAACATTTATCTGTAGCATGTGTATTGAGTGTCAGCTAAATCATGGGCCACCTTGTATCCATGCAAAGAAATTGCATTGCCCTGGAGCAGCACGCATACAACCAATCCTGATCAGTGGGTTAAACACATTAGGATTACCACAATGACACACAAAATGTATATGCAATGTTTTATAATTGTGTGCTAAAATTATAGAAAAAAATATATAAGAGTCAGAACCCACATAAAATCCTGTAATACCTAGCATCAACGGTTCTTATTTCTAAATCTTACAAGTTTAAAGACTAGATTTACAGACTTCAGTTCAGCTATATATAACAATATAGCTTGTTGTACCCTATTTTGTTCGACCCAGAATCAAAATGCATAGGAAATAAATGCTAGCTAAGCATGGTTTTCCTCCAACAATAAATGGTCCTTAATATCACACAACTTGCTTTCAGTAAAGTTTTTCAATGTTTTACCTAGAGACAGTGAATTATAAAGTTTAATATCAACAGTCATATTGGTCAGAATTGTATCAAAATCATATATTAAAAATAAAAAAAATGCAACCTTAACATTTCTTTCTCTCAAATCCTAATACTACATAGTATTGAGTCGTAGCCGAGAGACATACCCCGTAATACTACTACAATACCATGTACACACAAACAAATTAAACGATGAATAAAAGGCTGCAAAACAGCAATAAATCAAACAAATTTAAATAATGTTTTAAGAGTTATGAAGAAAGGTCCTGTAATTTGCATGTTCGATTGTTTGGGCGTGACTTTTAGGAATTCCAGATGTTGTGTTATTGAAAAAGCCAACATTGATTTTTTTATAACAAAACAAAAAAAATTGGTTGGCAAACTTCAATTTGTTGATTTTTTCCTGATTAATATGCAAAATGCAAGATACCAGCGTAAAATGGCCAAATAATACTATTTCATACCTGTGACAAGACTGGGGGGAGGAGGGTGTCTATATCAACAACAATACTGTACTTTAACACTTACAAGACCAGGAATTTATTACCAAGTGCAATAGGGTGGGCTTATCACTGGGCATAGGCCTAGTAATATACAATAAAATAGTTAGGAGACAAATTAATTTCTTCATATAACTGGACTGATTAAGTTTTTTGAGTTATATAGTACTGACATTTGATTTAGAATATGAAGAATAATAGAATCTATTAGGCCTACTCCTGTGTGATGTAGAAAGAGAACTCTCAACAAAAAGCTTAAGATTAAGTTTAGCTGGAGCTTTGCAAAGTGCTTAACTTCAAAAATCTTATCCTGAGACTTTTCTGTTTACACCACACAGGAATAAATTATTATTTTTCTCCCACACTTTCTTATTGTAACTAGAATTGTTGCAAGAATGGCAGACTTATACCCCTGCTAGCTCCAAATGGGCAGAACTCCATAAATAGGGGGAGATAACTCCAATTTATATACTTTATTCACTTCCCAATGGTGCAAGTTTACATGTATCAATTATCATTCAAATCGTTTTCAGAATAATAGCGTATACGGGCTGTTTCACTCTAAATAAGCTAAGAAAGGTTGATCTTCTCCCTAACAAATTTTGGGAAATACCGGTAACGTGTGGGATACAAGTGTGAGAGAACACATAATCACAGTGTGGTAAGGATTTCCATAACACAGGCTTCTTCTGGAATATGTACTTCTCTGACGGCACACGACTGATGAACAACAGTTATGCAAGTACGTTTAAAACATTAGCGGTTCCAGCACAAATCAGTTATTATCTGGAGCCTCCCTCCTCAGTGGCTTTGGCACTTTTCACACAACCTCTGGATGTACATCAGCTTAATAATGTGATGAAACTGAGCCCAGGACTAACATACATCAACTGTCTCTGTAATACTGGTGCTCTAATCATGAGACTGTTTTTACCTCTGACATTTTTGAAGTTAACAAATTACATTTGATTGCTTGTATGACATGATGAAGTAAGTCTCGGTAAGTTTTTAAGATGCTGCTTCCCAGTTATATTAATTTTAACATTTCTAACTCTCCTTCACATGACAATGCAACTGACTTAATAAGACATGTATTTCTTAATTGACAATATACTGAACATGATCCAAATTAAGCAAAGGCATAGCAACCAGAAGCAGTCATTCAAGAGGAATGATGTGTTGGCTCCTCTCCCTTATTATCTACATTAACTGTCAGACAATGTATTTAATGAGATCTGCATTGAATATCACTCTCTATAGTGAATGCTGTATAGCGGGAAACCATCGCCCAGTCATATACCTGGTATTCGCCCTTTTAAAGGTAAAATCCATGTTCGCCTAGTGTTAATTTCGCCATTCACATGTAATTACTATATATTGTTTAGGTGAAATATCATTTGCTGACGTGGTAAATTTACCCCGGTAAAAAGATAAAAGTTTAATAGCGGCGAAAAGTTCCCGGTATTCAGTATTACTTACATTAAATATCAATGTATGAAATACAATTTTCATGGACTATCAGACAATGTAACTAAATGATCAAAGTGTTTCAATGTACTCAAGTTGAAAGACATAACAAAACCAAATTGAATGTAATGGCTGACTAGGAAGGCCTATATGTGTGTATAGGTGTGTATATTTGTAGTCTGATGCTGGGTATCATCACAAGGCATCTACACTCTGGTAACCTTTCTCTTGCTTCAACTCAGGATGACTTTTATCCAGGAAATCCTTCAGCAATGTTGGAAAGTCGGTCATAACCCCTGTCGACCCCAGTTTAAATGCTCGCTCAAACTCTTCTTCAGAATTCAGCACCCATAGATAAGTCTAGAAAACAAAGATTTTCACAAATACTTAAAGCACATATTTAACCGTAACAAATTTGTTACTGCTATGTACATTTTATACAGTTGACTTTATTGCAAGTATCATACTTGGTGATAAGACTCGAAATGGAGGTTTTGTATAAATTCAATAAAACGTTGAAAGTTATCAAATATCATAATTTCACTGCTTCCCACACAAGAATAACAAAGATGTTAGGTGCTGCAAATAGACAGTCACACCACAGATCTACATACTAGTGATGGGCTGTTGATCGATTATAATCAATCATCGATCGGTTTGTCCTTTCCGATTCCGATTATCGATTACAAAATTCCATTATCAAATTAATCGTTTCTTTATTGAAATCAAAGTATTTAATGTTTTCAAAGTAAAAAATGTAATGAAAGTCATTTATTCCTATGATTTTTATTAAATGATTGATAAAACTGCATAAAAATTGCTTGAAATCCAGTCATTATAAAAGAATCAAAACCTAGTGTATAGTTAACAACTCTGTCTTTTGATGTTATGGTAGTGTATAGTTAACAACTCTGTCTTTTGATGTTATGGTAGTGTTCTCACTTTATTTGGGTATTCAGTCCCATAAAATTATGAACCGATGATGCAATCAATCAGCATTCGGTTTACTACTTCTGATTACAAAGCGATTATCGATTATGATTTTAAACTGATTGCCCATCATGGATCTGAACGCAAAACACTGACTTATTCCCCGATTTAAATACTGTGTCAAACAAAACATGTTAATAAATTATCTTAAGGACCGTTTTTTGTAAAGGAAGTAAAATTTTAATCTCATTTTGATATAGATAAACATAATACATTGTATAACGAAGCAGTGTTTATTATTTACCTGGATGCCTCTTCTTTCTAAGTGCTGAAGTAGTAATGGCCTCATCATGAGTCTAAAATCAAAAAATATGAATTATAACATAAATATGATTCCACCTTTGGTTTAAAAACACAGATAACTAATTTGTACATGACAATATTTTGTAAAATCTGTAAAACATCTTATACCTACTTTAACCCTACATATCTAAACTGGACTTGCCCAGTCATTAATTTGGTAAGGTTTAAATGTGATTTTAGGGGTGAATGTGTTATTAGTATAAGTATAGCATTACAGGAACCTCACAAAATAAATCAGTATCTCTACAAAATGGGTTTATAAGTTTCTGGACTATAAGCTAATGGAGACAAAATATATAAGGGACATAACTTATTTTCCCTCTGTTGATATCAAATATCAATTGTTTTTGTGTCAATTGAAATAGAAATTAATACAAAATCAATTTAGAAAGTGTTATGATGGCTATACTCACACATCTGCCAACTTTAAAAGAAACCTCATTTTTCTGTTCAAAGGCCTATTGAATTTTTCACCACTGAAAATTGAAAATAATACAGTTAGTTTTTAAGAAATCCACATACATGTATGCACAAACAAATCACTGGATATAATGCATTCAACTATACATAAACATGGTCATCAAATGATATCCCATAACAATTCAATGTTTCACAGTGAAATTAGATAGTTTTTGATTGTACATTTTGAAAAACAACATTCTTTTGACATTTTCATAATATCTTATTTGAAAATAATGTTTATGTACCTAAAGTTGATTATGATCCACTAACAACTGTCTTAATAAACTTCTCTGTATATCTGTGTATATTGTAGCATGAAAATCCCAAAATGTTACATAATATTGATATACACACACAGTAATTACACCGTAATACATGTGACTACAAATATTACCTCAGGAGAGCGCCAGGCATGAGAACCTCAAAAAGGGATTCTTTTAGGGGCAGGAATGGCAGTATCCCGGTGTAGAAAGTCACTAGTAACAACAGGACACGCTGCATGGAGAATATCAAAGGCACATCGGGGTTCTGTAAGGAAAATGTATGAAATACATGTACATAATGGTCGCCATCAGGATCTCGTAGAAAATATGCTATTCATTGTGTGATATATGAAGGTTGATGTTTTTTATCATGCTTATTGAAGTGCCTTGAACTTCCTGCTGTCACTACCCAAGTTCTCGACGACAGGATGTGACATTACGATGATTGGACCTAGATTTATTTTGTGTGGCAGGTGTCGATGAAGCAGAAGACTCATGTCCTTCCGGAACACCTGGTCTTAATCTCCTTGTAAGTAATCAAGGGTCTCTATCCAAATCTTTCTTTGCTCATGTTTTGCCCTAATTTTATCGACCGAGTTTGAATTATGGTTTTGTTGACAGTATTCCCTTGTTGTGTTTGATATTGCAGGTACATTTACTATATAGTGGTACGAAATGATTACACTACCAAGGTACTGGATCAACACAACACCAAAGCCTTCCCCAGCAACACTGCTAGGCTCTGACAAGATCCATGGAATCTGAGACCACTGTCACAACATCACTCACCTTTTTGTAGAGTTTACTGGTAACTGCTGAACTCCTATTGCCCCAACCGGTCAGAGATGCACGGTCAAACTCTAGAATCAAATCGTTTACCTGCAAAGTCAAGAGATAGACGTTTTTATGAGTGTAAATAAGAATTAACTACCAGGCTATGGTGTAAATAAGAATTAACTACCAGGCTATGGTGTAAATAAGAATTAACTACCTGGCTATGGTGTTAATAAGAATGAATTGTTAAGGGGAACATCATAATACCTTTAACACACGCTTTTTATTACAGATGGAAGGATGAATGGACAAATGCAGGAGACAAACTGACAGAGTGATAACTAAACCCCTCTCAACTATGTGTGTGGGAGGGTGGGGGCGTAATCAATATTGACCGTCAAATTGACAAAGTGATAACTAAACCCCTCTCAACTATGTGTGTGGGAGGGTGGGGGCGTAATCAATATTGACAGTCAACCTGTTTATAAAGTGTGCCATATTAAGTAGCATGCCATGCTTGACATTTTATAAATTGACTCAGATTGTTCATTTTGAGTACAAATAAGACAGCTGTGGGAACATTAACTGACTTCTATTTAACATACCTAGTACAGTGTATTGAGAAAAATATCTTAAAAAAATATTCAATCTTAGAGATTTTTTGATATTTTAACCATAAACTACACTTTTTTTTACCTTTGACATCATCACATCATTGTAAATTGGTTTATGACACCACTGACACCATAGTACCACCCATAAAACAATCAGGATCCTTCAGACCTTACAGGTCCCTGATTACATCACAGTTCCTCACCGGGATCCTAGGACCTCTGGATATTCCCCAGGATAGGACAGGACCTCATAACTACCTGAACACCTACCCTGTTGATGAGATCATCATTGTTGATTTTGATGTCTATGTTGATTGGCATGGTAGGAAAGGCCTGGAAGACGTCCTTCAACAGTGGAATTTGTCTGTCGGATCCACCCTTAGTTTGGAAACCTAGAAATAAAATACATCATTCTTCATCATTCTTCAGAGGGAAAACAAAACAACTCAATAATAGCAGGTACCAGACAGGCCTTAAAATTACCGGTATATATAAATCCAATTTATTCAGCAACATTTAAATATAAATGATTCAAATATATTTTAAAGGTGATCTTATCAAAACTCAAAAAGTACTTTTTGAAATAGATTTTTGGAACAAAATGCTCATTAATAAGTATGATATGAAAAAATGAAAAGCTTACTTTCAAAATGACAGAGTTATAAGGATGCATCTTTATGAAATATTCAAATGCTTTTTATCTAGATAACAATGGTGTACGAAGCTGGTAGCGTGTAGCCTTGGACACAACAAACCCAGACACAGTTCACACATAGCTATAGCAGACATGTCAGTACATGCCTGGGTCAAGCCAATACTTACTGCTCATGAAATCCAAAGACAGCACACTCTGAATTGGAGGCAGATCCTGAAAGTCAATTGTACATTTAAATCATATCTTTAATCAGTTTTATTAAAATATTACCACTAGATGGTACTCATATAGATGCATGTGTCTAAGAATGATAGTCAGATAGAGATAATTTATATCAAAAATAACTCAACGTAAAATGATGCACCTTATCGATTTTTTGTGTCTGTGGGTAATAGCTCAATGTGACCTCTTTTACAGAACTCAATGTAAAATGATGCACCTTATTCACTTTCTGTGTCTATGGGTAATAGCTCAATGTGACCTCTTTTACAGAACTCAATGTGAAATGATGCATGTTATTGACTTTTTGTGTCTGTGGGTAATAGCTCAATGTGACCTCTTTTACATAACATAATGTGAAATGATGCACCTTATTGAATTTTTGTGCCAGTTAATAACAATGTGATCTCTATTAAACAACTCAGCTATTTGTATTACACAGCTCTATTAAACAACTCATCTATTTGTATTACACAGCTCTATTAAACAACTCATCTATTTGTATTACACAGCTCTATGACACAACTCAGTTATTTGTATTACACAGCTCTAGTACACATCTCAGTTATTTGTATAACACAGCTTTATTACACATCTCAGCTATTTGTATTACATTGCTCTATGACACAACTCAGCTATTTGTATTACACAGCTCTATTACACAACTTAGTTATTTGTATAACACAGCTCTATTAAACAACTCATCTATTTGTATAACACAGCTCTATTTCACATCTCAGTTATTTGTATTACCCAGCTCTAGTACACAACTCATCTATTTGTATTACACAGCTCTATTACACAACTCAGCTATTTGTATTACACAGCTCTATTACACATCTCAGTTATTTGTATTACACAGCTCTAGTACACAACTCATCTATTTGTATAACACAGCTCTATTACACAACACAGCTATTTGTATTACACAGCTCTATTACACAACACAGCTATTTGTATTACACAGCTCTATTACACAACTCAGTTATTTGTATTACACAGCTCTATTACACATCTCAGTTATTTGTATTACACAGCTCTAGTACACAACTCATCTATTTGTATAACACAGCTCTATTACACAACACAGCTATTTGTATTACACAGCTCTATTACACAACACAGCTATTTGTATTACACAGCTCTATTACACAACTCAGTTATTTGTATTACACAGCTCTATTACACATCTCAGTTATTTGTATTACACAGCTCTAGTACACAACTCATCTATTTGTATAACACAGCTCTATTACACAACACAGCTATTTGTATTACACAGCTCTATTACACAACACAGCTATTTGTATTACACAGCTCTATTACACAACTCAGTTATTTGTATTACACAGCTCTATTACACATCTCAGTTATTTGTATTACACAGCTCTAGTACACAACTCATCTATTTGTATAACACAGCTCTATTACACAACACAGCTATTTGTATTACACAGCTCTATTACACAACACAGCTATTTGTATTACACAGCTCTATGACACAACTCAGCTATTTGTATTACACAGCTCTATAACACAACTCAGCTATTTGTATTACACAGCTCTATTACACATCTCAGCTATTTGTATTACACAGCTCTATTACACAACACAGCTATTTGAATTACACAGCTCTATGACACAACTCAGCTATTTGTATTTCACAGCTCTATAACACAACTCAGCTATTTGTATTACACAGATCTATTACACATCTCAGCTATTTGTATTACACAGCTCGATTACACAACTCAGCTATTTGTATTCCGCAGCTCTATGACACAACTCAGCTATTTGAATTACACAGCTCTATAACACAACTTAGTTATGTGTATTACACAGCTCTAGTACACATCGCAGCTATTTGTATTACGCAGCTCTATTACACAACTCAGCTATTTGTATTACACAGCTCTATAACACAACTTAGTTATTTGTATTACATTGCTCTATTACACATCTCAGCTATTTGTATTACGCAACTCTATTACACAACTCAGCTATTTGTATTACGCAGCTCTATGACACAACTCAGCTATTTGTATTACACAGCTCTATAACACAACTTAGTTATTTGTATTACACAGCTCTAGTACACATCTCAGCTATTTGTATTACGCAGCTCTATTACACAACTCAGCTATTTGTATTACACAGCTCTATGACACAACACAGCTATTTGTATTACACAGCTCTATAACACAACTCAGCTATTTGTATTACGCAGCTCTATGACACAACACAGCTATTTGTATTACACAGCTCTATAACACAACTTAGTTATTTGTATTACACAGCTCTAGTACACAACTCAGCTATTTGTATTACGCAGCTCTATTACACAACTCAGCTATTTGTATTACACAGCTCTATTACACAAATCAGTTATTTGTATAACACAGCTCTATAACACAACTTAGTTATTTGTATTACACAGCTCTATATCACATCTCAGCTATTTGTATTACGCAGCTCTATAACACAACTCAGCTATTTGTATTACATTGCTCTATGACACAAATCAGCTATTTGTATTACACAGCTCTATTACACAACTTAGTTATTTGTATTACACAGCTCTATGACACAACTCAGTTATTTGTATTACACAGCTCTATTACACAACTCAGTTATTTGTATAACACAGCTCTTTTATACAACTCAGCTATTTGTATTACACAGCTTTATTACACAACTCAGCTATTTGTATTACACAGCTCTATAACACAACTCAGTTATTTGTATTACACAGCTCTATAACACAGCACAATGTTATACCTACAAATATATACCAGGTATGACAAGATCTAATAATATCTCTATGACACAACTTAGTGTGTTTTATATTATAGTATAACACAAAGTGATATTTGTCTTTGCCTTCTCAGTTTCACCAGTAGAACACTAAGTAACATGAATAGAAGAAAGAACTCTGGCCTATCTATAAAAGAACTCAAAAATGTTACAAATCTGAACCTAGGACACAGACCAAATGAAAAATTACACAATTTAGAACAAAACTTATTATCAACATATAATAATTATTGCATTTTTCTGATACTGACCTTATAATCATAGTCGATTATCTCCCCTTCAACACCACATGATCTCTTGAGCGAGTTGTCATGTGTCACGACCACCTGACCATCCTTGGTGATGTGACAGTCAATCTCCAACATCTCTGTCCCAAGGTCAGATGCACTGAAAGTTACACGGGTTAATCAACACAGCAATGACTGATTTTTGAAATCTTGAAGAAATTTCATTATTTAGGCAATTTCATATTCCCACATTAAAAACAAGTTTTTGCTGCCATGCTGCTGCTGATAAAGCATCTGATAGCACAAAAGCTTATTTTTACAGACATCATTCAGTTCTAAAACTGTTCCCAGTAGCTTTCATTCATATCTTTTATTTTTACACTAATTTTTTTTTAGCATAGGAAAATTTTGAACATTGTTAATGACTTACAAACGGAAAGCTGTCATGGTATTTTCCAAGTTTTCACCAGCCCCTGTAATAGTATAAAGGTAAATATATTTCATTTTGATTCTCAAATAACTCTTATTATCGGAATAACTCACTGAACTTTTACCGTAAACTTTCTACTCTGTCAATTTGACTCTCACTCTAATATCTTGAAAGAATAAACGTCTAAATCATAGAATTTATTTTCATGCCTTCAAATCATGTTGAAATAGTATCAGAGTCCTAGACAAAAAACAAGAGGCCCAATGGGCCTGCATCGCTCACCTGGTATTAATCTCACACATGTAATCTTAAAAGTGGACTAAAATACAGCTACAGGCAGAATATCAGTGTGACCTTGAATGTCAAATAATGACATTAGGTTGAAAGTGGGTCAAGGTCATTCATTTGAACAAATTTGGTAGCCCTGATTGCTACAGGCCAAATATCAGTACCCTGGGCCTTTTGGTTATTGAGAAGAAGTTGTTTGAAGATTTTAAGACATTTGACACCTGTGACCTTGAAAGT